CTAGGGCAAGACTATAATGATTTACAGCCCTTAGTGTAGTTGTAGAATATACATTTCTATCATTCTCTGAAGCCTTTCGAGCCCTCTCAGGGCATCTGCGAGTCCCTGCCCAACAAATGGTCCCGCGAGAGGCCTTCCGGACCTACCCGAAAAGGGTATATTTGGCGCGAACAAACAACGCGCGCGGAAATGCGATGTTCAGTTTCTTATGCAAGGCACTGTAAAGAGATGGAGACAGTAGCTTCTTGAATCTTGTAGTAAAAAATTGTTCACTATGTTCTTTATTGATATGGGGGAGACTCGGCAGAAGTGCATGCAATCCACAACGCAGATATAATACATTATTTTGTTATTAATAGCTTTATTGCCGTCCACACGCGTGCGAGCAGAGGACAAAGGCAGCTGAGGTGCGACGACACCGACGAGAACACTTCGAAAATCCGAATTGGGCAGTCGACGAACGGCGATAAACCGGCAGTAAACCGACGTGTCGTTAGTCGCTTAGCTGCCTTACATAATTCCGGTAAAACCTCGGACGACGAGTTGGGCCAGCCGTCTCAGAGCGTCCTCATCCTCACTAGTCATCTTAATTAGGAAACACATCTATAAATAAGCTGCATTATATAAGCCCTATTACATAACATCTTCACATATGCCCTAGCAGAGAGGATCGAGGACTCGGAGACGGATGGTTCTAGGAGCCTGGCGGCGGCGCAGAAATTCAACAGCATGTCGAATCACCTGTCGAATTCGCGCGGCAGTGCTATCCGAGATGCCGCGGCATTGTACCGAGTGCACTGCCACCGGTATTCGGTGCATACGGTGTTGCGTTTATAAAGTGCACACTTACCCCTCGGACGCTCAATGTCTCTTGGGGGAATGATTCGTATAAACCATAGAAACCCATCTGCGTCCGATATAAATTCATTTTTCGCGGTTTAATCGAATCCGCACGGCAACATGCTTGCAAGTGCAAGTGGCTACCCAGTACTTGGAACCTGAGGTACTTGTCATATGTACTTATTAGTCGCAACCGCTGCACGTACTGTATCTCCGTCGCCGCGAGCTGACTCCGCAAGTTGTCTATTTCAGCCTGATATGCAGCAGTGACACGCGCAGCCTCCGCACGCATGGCTTCGTACTGTCGAGCTTGCTCAGCTGCTATCCGCTCCCGCTCTGCATTGAAAGCTAATTCGCGCTGGGCCAGCTCTTCTCGGAAAGCTGCTTCGCGCTGGGCTTTCTCCTGTTGTTCGGCTTCTCGCAGCTGTGCATACTGTTGTTGTATCTTCACAATTTCTGCTTGGACAGTCCGTTCTACGTGAGCCGCAATTGGATCGGGGGCTTGAGGGGGATAGGTGTGAGGGGTTTGCGACATGTTGACTAGTCTTTGGACATTGCAAGCTCAGGCAAAGAAATGAGACTGGTCAAGGACAGTCCAAAAATCACTAATATCCGACCGCCTTTCGAAGGCATGTTGAATGCGAACTGACATACTCGGCATTTGCCGTATCGAGGCTCGGCCATGCCAGACTCATGCCCGGAGGCTTTCGGATGGGACTCTAAGCTCCGGCTTGTATACAGATGAGTTGCGAGGGTGTATACAAGTCATTCCCCCATAAGAGAATGAGCGTCCGAGGGGTAAGTATATACACTATAGACATGCAACTCGGGCACCTGTGGCTGTGCGCATTGTGCCGCGGCATCTCGGATAGCAATTGCCGAGGGGAACTCGACAGGTGAGTCGACATGATGTCGAATTTCTGCGCCACCGCGCGATTCGACACTTGCTTTGCCCGCCGTGTCACCTGGTGCGAAACAACAATGCACACGCCACAAACAAATATAAGCAATACAGTTTTGATGGCTCAATTCCCGACAAGCAGAGACCTTGCGACTAGCAAGGTAACTCGAGGTGACTCTTCCCAGCCAATGAGAGGCCAGCATTGAGTAGCAGCCACTCCCGCAGGTGATGTGGAAATAAACTTCCGCAGAAGCCTGTTTCTGCGGAAGAGGTCCCGCTCAGGCGGGTTCCGGGATTCCCGCAACTGTGCCAGTCCCTACGCCTGCCTCCCCTCATGTGGCTAACAGGCCAAACGTGTTTGCCAATGTGTTCGGCGGGCCAACTTCCCAGTCGACTCGACGTTCTCGACAATACGTTCAAATTTTCAAGTATGGATGTGTCGTGGGTCACTTATGAGTATAAACGCCTGATCAGGTTCCGGACAAATTTTTGGACCCCTCTATGCCTGTTTTTTGCAGACAAATCTGCCTGATTTTGGCCCTTCCGGGAGACACGCCTGATTTTTTTCCGGACATCTCGTCCGACTTGCTCGTGCAATTTCGCCGGCTGTTGCCGGAGAGAGCCAAATTTAGATGTTCCCACGCCACAGGCCCACAGTTGCCATTTTAGGCCAGATCTTGCTTGAGATGCCTGTTTTTACCAGACAAAAGTGCCCAAATTCACGATTTTTTCCGGACAAAAAGGACCCACTTTTGGGGCCTTCAGATCAGGCATTTATACTGATTATCAGGGGTCCTGTCACGACGCGCTGCAGTCGCGACTTCGGCAGCGGGACTTGAATTGGAAACAATGCATCCTGGAGTGGCCGGCGGACGGTGATGGGATACTCTACAGTGCTTTGCATATGAGGCCGGAAAACGTGTTTCGCAAAATATTGTTTGGCTGGACCAAATAAACCTATATGGGGTACTTCCATCACCGACTCACGGCAGGCTGCTTTGCTTTTGCTTTGTGCCCGACCGCGGTTGTGAGTTCTTTTCAGAGCTTTTTTGGGATAAACAAAGCTCATATACGCTATTCTGTTGTTGGTTACATATGCTATAAGTTTGTCATGTGTTATTGTTCCTGTAGGGTATGCCTGGCGCGCCCAACTTGCCGTCGTTGAGTGCCCCATATAGGTTGGCGTCGGCGGGACAAATAGAGACAAACAACATCTTGCGAAACGCGCTTTCCGGCTTCATATGCAAAGCACTGTAAGCGTAAGTACTCAGACATTTTTGCGTTTTGTGCTGTGAACAGTGACATCAGTCGCTTAGCCATCGACCGCCATCCTCATCTTGCCATCCACTTGCGCTGTACATCATGGCTGCCGCCGTAGAGTGTGTTGCATATCTCAGGAGAACTTCATGGAATTTACCCCATGGCTAGCCTTAGCCACTTGAACAGCATCTATGCGCGAGCCAAACCAAGAGCAACTAAGGTCAAGCCTGGCGAGCATCTTGACATTTTCCCGGTGCGCCTTCCTCGCCACTGCGTACCTCCCCTCATGTCATCGGAGGTCCATGATATGTTGCCACCGATGTACATCTTGGGTTGGTATTACACCTTGGCCGACTTCACCAAGCGGTTCGGCACAGGCAGACCTTTCAGTGTGTTCAGCGCATGCATCTTAGATCCTTACTATGAGAAATACAAGGGGATGACAGGAATGTGAGTATCTACACTGTGTCTCATAACAGTGCCGCTCATGATTGTCACCAACAGACCCAGACCGTTGCTGAGCTCCAGCTTCACTGACAAATACTGCATAATCTATGTCGCGTCTACCTCAGTTCCTGCCTCCCTGGAGCCGTCTCGCTTGAACTGGATAATAGGGGGTGTCAAAGATACTCTAAAAGAGGATAGTGAACCGCAGTGGATCCGTGTTCCTGTGTCTCCGTTGTAAATTCGGTACATGCCCCTCTCATCTCGGCCACCCACAGGAATACCACAGTGCCAGTGGGGAGAAAGCCCATCACTTGTACCATCCGAGGCCAAGTGGAAGGGTCTTCGTGCAGCTGCAAGAGCAAGCCAGCTGCAGCTGGCAGCATGTGACCTTCTTCGCGCTCATGGCAAGCTTCAGGTAGCTCACCTACCAGGGGTCACGCAGAGCCGTAGATAATTAGCCATGTGTTATCTCACAATTCAGCGACTTCCCAGCTGATCATGCGAGCTTTAGAGGTTGGTAGCCTTCAAAAATGATCGACGCCGACATCTGACAGTAGCATCACCGATAGCTATGCAATGATCGACAGTTGGCGTTTACTTGCGCAGGTGCTATGTACATACCCTGCTACAGTAATACTAATATCGAATGTGTACCCCGCTGAAACCAAGCCCTGCCCATTTTGCATGCTTAACAGCCCATCTCGACTCCGTCGTACGGCCCATCATGGTCACCCGCGTCGCTCTCAAAGATATTCGGCACGTCCCCGACCGTGCACAACGCGCTCGTGTCATCTTGCCCTACGCAGCACCGTCACGCAAACCGCCACCCTCAGAGCCATCAAGACCTGCAGACTCACCAGGACACGCATCCCACGCCCCGCTCGCCTGGACATGCACCTCCCCGCTCGGATGGCGGAACCCCAAAAACCGCCCGGGCAAGATCGGCACGGGGTCCTTCTTGTTGTTCACGTGCGTGACCCCGCCGTGCGCGTCGACGTAGTCCGCGAACGCCTGGTTGCCGACGCGCGGCATGCCGTAGCCGACCATGCGCACGGCGGTCCCCGCGGGCAGGTGCAGCGGCAGGTAGACAAAGTCGAGCAGCGCGATCGCCGCGCCGAGCGAGTGCCCCGTCACGGTGACGCTGCTCGCGGCGTATTTGGAGAGCGCGGAGTTGACGGCGGCGAGGACGGAGGGGGCGGACCTGGGGAGGGGGGTTTGGTCAGTTTGGGAGGGAGGGGATAGGAGTGAGTGGGATTTGCCTGGCTTGGGTACTCGCGAAGCCCTGGTGGACCTGGATGCTCGAGCTGACGCCGGGGAAGAGGGAGGGGTCCAGAGACTCGAGGATGATGTCCGCGTCCGTCAGGTCCGGGATGCTACACCTCGTCAGCCAACGCACACGCGAACACCGAAAGGGGCGTACATCTTCTCAGTATCCGTGCCCTGATGCGCCACAATGACCGTCTTCAAGCCTGGATCATAGCCAACATACCCTGCCACCCATCAGCCTCCTCCCCCTCTTCCCCCACCTACTTAACCGCGAACACTCACAGTACTGCGTGACCGTCCCGTCGCCCCCACTCGCCACCGGCTCGAACGCGCTGTTCGCCTCGCAGTTCGCGCCGCAGCTCCACGCGAGCGTCGCCGCGGGCGCGCAGTACGCCGTGCTCGCGTAGTACGTGTACGGCCTGTACGCCGCGACCTGGGCGCTGGAGAGCGTCGTGACCGCCTGGCGCGGCGCGAGCGCGGGGGCTGCGGCGGCCGCGAGGAGGGAGGAGAGGAGGGTCAGCGCCTGGGCGAGCATCGCCGGGGCTTGCGGTGGACAGCCGGGAGAGCGTGCGGGTTAGAGACGGGGCGTGCCCGGCTTATATGCGCGCGCTGGGAGGACAGCATGTGCATCCGACGGGCGTGGATCTACTGTATCACGCCGGATTGGCAGGGAACAGCGAACGATATCAAATGAGAAGTACTTGGGCTCTGCTTCCACCCCGCGCTGGACTTGGCATACGTCCGATCCCGAGTACATACACGAAAGCGAAGTGGGCACCAGCGTGAAAGATTTTTCGGTACCGCGAGCGTGCACGTTGAAGTCGGGTGTCCCACGGGAGCGCCGTTGCTGCCGCCGTGGACGACTTGCACACCTGACGGTGATACCGACGTGATGATGGCGGGTGATCGATGCCCAGTCTGACATTATTCTGACAGATCATCCACAGTGGATCATCCAGCTGTGCTGCTCGCATGGACGACACGGCCCGTGACAAGGCACGTGATCCTGTCACTCGATCGCGTTATAATTAGGACGCGTCTATCCACACGCGTTCAAACGTTCGAGATCAGACTCGTCGATGTTGTACAATGGGACCTGTGTCAAGCAGATTCGGGATAAATTCTGTTGCAGTCTATAGCTCTCAAGAGGAAGGGAGTACTGCTCAGTAGTCTACTGTTTGTCTCAGGCTGTCATTGACACAGCTGTTGAAACTCGGAGCGCGCTGATCATGGGGTACACGGTAATGGACGTTGGACGGCGTCAGGAAGCGGCACACTCGCACGCCCGAGCGTGACAACCAAGCCCAACTCCACCTTGTACAATGATTGCCACAGTTAAAGCAGCTCATCTGCACTGCGCCGAACGTGGACGTGGCAGAAAGGTTGTGTACGCAGTTTGGTATATACAGCTTATGATATATAGCGAGCAGTACACGTGATACAAATAGACCAGAATCTAACCCCCCGTCCCCAACATCCTGAAATCGAATATACGCCCAAACTCCGAATGCATATGTCCAACGCATCCCCTGCGCCCTTTACATCGCCCAGCGACTATTCACGGGCGTCATCCGCGGACTATGCGGCGGCGAGCCCGCGGGGCCCCCATTCGCGGGGAAGTACGCCGAGTGGCTCGGCGAGTGCAGGCTGCCCGGGAGGTACAGCGGCACCGTCGGCACCAGCTCGAACACATGCTGCGCGATCGCGCGGCTCGCGCGCTGCGGGCCAATCCCGCCCGCCTTCACCGGCTCCGGCGCGTTCATCACGCCGTGCACGCGCGCCTCCTGGTTCAGCCCGCTCTCGCCCCACCCGTCCGGCCCCGGCGTCGCCAGGTTCATGTTGCTGCTCGACCCGCGCCCGTCCCAGATGCACCGCATGTCGTTCCCCGGGATGATCTGCACCAGCCGCCCCGTCTCGACGTGCCGCACCTCGATGAAGCGCGTGTCGAAGAGGAGCACGTACGGCGGGTGCCAGGCGGCCTTCTCGGCCGTGCCCTCCCATTCGATGGTCATCACGGAACGCGAGGGATCTCCGTGGCGGTTCACATAGAGGCCAAATTCTGGATTCACATATTTAGTGGCGACCTAGGTCGGAAAACGCGAGGGCCTACCGTCATAACAGAGCAAGAACTCGTCCTCGTTGGATCGGAACATGCCTATCGGTTTGCAGGATTCACATCTTCGCGCCAGGCGCTCCATCCGCGGGTCATCACGCTGGGGCACCGTAGCACTCCGGAAACTAAGACTAATCAGCCTCCTGCAAATCTATCACAAGCACACTAGATCCTTACTCGGTCAGATCCATGATCTCGAATCCCTTCGTACACAATATGGCGATCTTGGCCTTCAGGAAGATCAAGTCGAAGGTTTCTGACGGAAGGAAAAAGTCCTATTGCAAGGTCACGGTCGTGTTCGATGACAACCGGGAACAGAGATCTTACTCGGTAGACTCGGAACCACTCCGATCGCTGCGACCGGAAGCCCAAACGTGAGCCTAACGAAGCAGGCGCCCGGTTCCGCTCGTTGATGTTATCCACCACCGGTTCGAGCACACGGAAGACGTTGTCCAGCTAGAGGGCAACGCTTAGACCAATAATAGAAGCATCCTTATAGCCCTTACCCTGTTCTTCTTCATGTAGACGACCAGCGTCCGCCCGCTCAGGTTGCCGACGCTGAAGAAATGCACATTCTCCGAGTTTTTGCTAAGCTTCTGCGGTGTCTGAGACGTGTGCACGCTCTGGGGCGAAGACGGTACGAGCGCTTCGATGTGGTAGGCAAACAAAGACTGGAAAGACAAAGGTCAGGAAAAGGAAACCAGAAGTGTGCACCAACACCAACTCTGTCCGCCAGCACCAGGAATATGCCGAAGTCTTCCAGCATGGCACACTGCGTAACCTGCTTTAGATGGAGCACTCTGCGCATTGCTGCACGGAGGCGTGAGTCCAAGGTAACTATCGATAGGAGCATACGTACATCGCGAATCATGTCTGAACCCGATCCATACACCCTCCGCGCAGCCAATTGCCACTAAAGCGCGCCCATCCGCCGTGGCTTCCAGCACGCGTCAGAATGCGAGGCAAACGGAAACGTGTCTCGGACTCACTGAAAGGCACTGAGCATGTCACTTTTCCAGTGAACGTCGTCTCGTTATTCCACGAAGGATTGGTGGGCCCAGCCAGCATGGACGGAACGAGGAAGGTGTCAGCACTAAGCGTATCGATCTCGAAGACCTTGTTCGATTCTTGGACGACTTTGCGGAGACCGATAGCCTCTTCCAGCTTCTGCTTCCACTCCGAGCGTATCTGCGCGCTCTCAGCATACAACGTGTACAAGCCGCCCATCCGCCCATTGTAGTGGATCGTTAGCGGAAAAACTGCTCGAGCATCCCCGGCCGAGTCGGCACTGTTGAGAGTCGGGGGAGCGGGCTGATCGTGTTGTTGTTTGTCGCCCCGCTTGAAGCCGATGAAGCCGGTCCCTCGCTGTGTCGGAGGATCAGTGAAATTGGCCAACGTCAGCAAATCTAGCGGTATCGGCTGTGATTTTGATTAGCACCTAAACGCGCGATGGGGGCAGAACCATACCCTCCGATTGACATGGTACTTTGTCACACCATCCCTCTCCTTGGTCTTAGTCATGACCACTACATTGCATGTCTATCAAAGGATCGTAGTATGGCTGCAAACGAGGACGTACGGTAATTGTCAAACAGAAGCACGAACAACTCAGTCCATCCGTTCCATTCGAGACTTGTATCGGGTTGACGGAGCAACTTGCCAGTATGGATAAGCGACCTGTTCTCGTTGAGCAAGTCCATGTCCTAAGGTATAACTTGTCTCAACGGGGTCCCGCTCATTAAGGAGTGTTGCACATACCACTGCTTCGCCGGGTTTGAAGACTAGATTAGCATTGTATCGCCAAAGCTCGACCTTCTGTTTAGCTGAGGCAACACCTGGTTCTGTCTCTTTACCCAGGGCCTTGATGACGTCCAAGAGTTGTGGGATGGCTTCCTGATCTTCATGGTCCGCAGGAGTCTCGTCCAGTATACTCTTCAATAACAGCTCATACCGAAGCAACCGAGGGATTGGTCGATTGATGAAACTCTTGATATCCAATTTGTGTGCGTCAGGATGACGGACGCATTGCTAAACCGGCATAGATGAGTACTTGATTATCAGGGTCGCACAGCACTTACCTCCACAAAAGCCTTGAATGCAGGGTTGTTGTTCATCTCTTCGTCGATCCTATAAGCTGCCATAGGGTAATTCGGGACATACTCCAGGTACGCCTCCCGGAAGTTGAGAAAGGCGTCCAAGATGGCTTCCGTCACACTGCGAATGACTGGATGTTGTTCCCGTTGAATTTCGTGCAAGTTCTCCAACAGTTTCCGGTGGTGGTAGAGCAGTTCGCGATAATTGTGGAAGACCTCCTGGATGAAGCTATCTAATCTTGACGGCGGGATTATTGGAGGATCTGCGGTTTTCAGCGGACGAATATACATCTTCCATCGCCTTTAGCAAGAGCGCGTGATTGGTGGGGGGAATGCCTACCGTCTCAAAGCTCTCGAGATCTTTGACGTATGCCATCTCACCCTTGATGAGCTCGAAAATGATCCTGTACGAGGACAGACTCAGTTGTGCTTGAGACACCGAGCCCGCGCAACTCACATTTGACGTTTGGCCTCCTTCTTCGGTAGACTCTTCCTATACTCCTCCGAGACCAGGTTGTGCCATTCGAACTTGCCCGTAGGACCTTTGCCCATCGCAGACTGGAACGTCAGCAACTGAGCTACGGTCTGCAAGTTCTTGATAGCTTGGATGGCCTCCAATAAGAAGTCAGCATCAGGATTGCCTTCTGCAGTCTCTTTGTGAATGGCTTCCAACAGGACTGGATACTTCTGTAGATGTTCAGAAGGCCTGTTCAGGAAATGCTTGAGATCTATTCGCCGCGAGTCGGGGTTCCTAGCGCTATGCTACAAGAAAAAAGGAATGTCAATATTCGTGGATTTGTCCGCAGGCTGTATGTAGCAGGCTGACCTCCAAGAACATCCTGAACTCTACATTGTTCTCCGTCTCCTCTTTCACGCGCTTCTCAGCAAGAGGGAGGTGGCCAACGTATATCGGATATGCCAGACGAAACTCGGTCGCAGCGTCCAAAAACACATCCCCAATCCTCTGAATAATCGGCGCATGCTCCCGTTGTCGAACGTACAGATTCTCCAAGAGCCGGCGATTGCATTCCCGCAGATCCAGGATGTTCCCGAATACCTCTTCAATGAAATCTTCAAGGCGATCGGGGTGTATCACAGGTGGATCGGCCGTGCGCAGAGGTTTGATGAAGAGCTGGAACACCATGCCTGAGTTCGACATCGAAGACGAAATCTAGAGAACCAACGAACCGACTCCACGAGATCCAGATCCTCCACATATTGCTTCTCTTTACTGATGACTTTGTGAATGATTCTGTGCGAAAACAAGTGTCAGATTAACCTTGACGCAGAAGGAAGCCAGCTTACGTCTGACGGTTGATCTCACTGGCAGGCAACGTCTTGATGACCTCCTCCGGAACTTCCCAGTCGTTCTCCGTACGCTAGGGAAACGTCATCGAGAGCGCACGGCTCATCAGCAACGATTCGCCTACCTTGACAACATCCACAGGCTCGGGAGGCGGTTCCTCCGGCGCGAGGCGCTGCTACAAAGAGGAACACTCATCAGGATTGGGACCTGATTTATGATCATGATACATACTTTCCGCGGGCACAGGTACGCATAGCACGGTTGGTCTTCCGAGCAGTCTGAACTATAGCACTTGGTGAGGATCGTGATAACGCCCGTGGGTAACTCTTCTCTCTCTAGCCTCGAGTCGGAGGCACCCTCCTGATCGTCCAAGAACATATACACGTCCTCGACACCATCTTCCAGGACCCGTCCACCCCATTCGACTTCATAGAAGAACAACTGGCTCTGCAGACTCCGGGCAATCTGGAGTGCTATTCGTCTGTCGTTCGTCGAGATGCCGTGATTGATGAGGAGTTCTCGCTGGATCTGAGACTGAATAGTCGACTACGCGAGAGTATTGTTAACCTCCAGGACACGAATCCGGGGCTGTAGGTATCGGCACTTACCACTATGTCCTTACCCGTAAAGGCTCGTGGATAAGGGATCCCGCCCTTCACATGTGTGCCCCTCGGTACCTTATCCCTCAACCTCATAGCAATGTGGCTCAACAGCGCAAAGTTGACGAAGCGGTCCTCGGCGCTCTCCGAGTCCGTGTCCAAGTACGAGCCGTCGTCGTCGTAGTCGTCGAACTCTTCGGGGGACAGCCCGAGCTTGCTCTTGATATCCCTCGGGTAATCGTTGTACACCGCGCGCCCGTTCGACGGGCCCGGCTCGGGCGCCTGTATGTCCGAGTGCGAGCGCGCGTGAGACGCGAGGGGAGGTGCCGGGTAGGAGGATTTGGGCGGGTAGACGGACGTAGCCATAGAAGACGAGTCCGAGTACAGGCCGGAGGAGTCTCCAGTGCTGGCCATTGACGACGTGGTGGAAGTGACGGAAGGATTACGGTCTACGGTACTTGCGACAGCGTAGGGAACACTAGAGGAACCCGCCGAGGACGACCTGCCAAGGAGCGCTGAGGGCGTAGATTTGACAGCTGGAAATATGGGTCAGAATACATATAACAGCCGGGTGTGCGCAGCTTACGCTGAACCATGTTCGCAGTCGATGGCCTGTGCTGTATAACATGACCGTCCTTGGCTGGGGGGAGTGGGGCCACCTCGGACCTCGAGTATCCGTGTCCATAATCCAAGTGAGGACGCGAGCTTGATCTGGGCGGTGGATTCTGCAAAGCCGGACCGGTAGGCGTCAAATACGGCGGTGATTGTCTGTGACTGCTGGGCGGTGCCGGCGACGCCGGATACTGCGAGGATGACCCAGTCAACATCGCAACCAACTCTGGAGGCGGTGGCGGTGGAGGTACAGGAGGCGGGGGAGCGTCGGGAGCCGGGTGCACGACGTATCCGGGAATCTGCGGCGCTTGGGCGCCTGGCGGTATGACACTCACGTTAGGCGGGCTGCCTGCCCCGCTACGGCCATTCCAATGTGGCGGCGGCAACTCGTAGTTTCCGTTCTCGCTGGCGGCGAACTCGGGGACAGGCATCGGGTACGGCGAAGGCACGGTATTGGAGCGCGAGTAGGAAACGGGGCTATCTGAGCTTGACCCGGATGAGGGACGGTTTAGGGGAACTTGCGGCTGGGAGTAGTATGGTCGAGGGCTCGGGGGTAGACCTGCGTGGCGGGCGGATTTGTCCACCAGGTACTCACCGGACGGTCGAGGCTTTACACCGTTTGGAGAACCATTTGCACCCGCGGTCGGCGAGGTAGGTGGAGGTGAACTACCATGGCCTAGTCAGTGATTGCGGTAGATTAACAAGTCCTGGATTAGACACTGACAGGTCTGTAGGATACCTGGGTCGTTGGGATCCAGAGGGGCTGACGTCCGCAGGGTGGTACGGCCTTGCTTCAGGCATGGTGTAGCTGTTGGACGTGGACGCAGCAGGTGCTGCGGAGGAAGAGCCAGGTACAGGCGGAAGTCGTCTGTAAGGTCTGGTCTGATTCGGGGACGTCGGCGTATATGGAAGCGGACGATCGCGAGGGGAAGTGGGGAGACCTGGAGAGGCGTTGGCGGCTTTATTCCCGTCGGTCAGTAGATTCGCGACGCGAGATCAGGATGCTTACAAGATGATCTAGAGACGGATGCGCCTTCCTGCGCTGATGGGGATCTCCCTAGTGCAGATGAACCGCCGTTCGGAATCCTGGACCTGCCTGCATCAACCTGGGGTTCGTCTGCGCCGTACGCACTGTAGAGAGACTCGAGATCGGAGCGCTGGCGGGTGGGTGGCGTAACAGAGCTCGAAGGCTGCTCGTTCGGAGACTCTTCAGCAAATCCTGCCCATACTTCTTTATACAAGGCTTGAAGGTCTTCATCCGCAGGCGGACCTGCGCGAGTGGCCGCCGTCGACATGACAATCTGGATGCAGCAGCAGTCAATCAATCAGAGCCCATATACGCCTGACAGTTGTTTCTTGTGGTACAGAGGGAAAGAAAGGCTTGACGGTTGGGTAGAAAGGAGCCACCAGATATGCGTGCAAGGTTCTAAGTAACGCACTTGTCCGCGTTTCACGAGCCTGTCCACTGTCCGCCCGTGGTAATGCACTTTCACCGCCGTACAGGCAGTGCCGAGGGGATGCCGCAAAGCCCGGCGACTTCCGGAAAACGCTAAGTGAAGCGTGATGAAGCCCGATGGAGCAAAGCAAGAGCGAAGTGAACGCGGATTTCCAAGTCATACAACTCTTCTAACATGGCGCCGTTCTTCTCTTCCAACATTTCCTGTACTTTTTAAAACACGGAGGATGAAGGTTGGTTTGTTACAGGTACTAGCAGGGCCAGGGCCAGAAAACGGATAACTACGTACCTCCACCTTACAGCGCGTTGTTTGGCTGCGTTATGCCTGACCGTGCGGCGCGACCCCGTGCGCCCTGATCTATCGCCATCGGGAACCATACTAGTGCCCGGTAAATAGCTTGCTCGATCTTCAAGTACTTCATTGCGGTCGGTTTCGAGTTGACCTTGCTCACTGCCAACAATTGCAAGCAAGGTCCATCGGAGCCTTGAACTCTAAACGCGGTTTATACGGCAAAATCGCTAGTACCTGGAGTCTATCGTGCACGCCTCCTTTCAGAACACTATACCGCCCGAGCCCTCCATCCCTATCCGTTGCAAACAAATCTTCGCCGTCCAGCCAGGCCGAGGTCAACTCAGAGCAAGATGTCGGAGGGATCTTCGACATCTGATGGACCCAAGCCAAAAGTGACTTCTTCAGTGCACGATATCAAAGCCGAGAAACCGCCTTGGGGATCCAGGTGAGTGATTTTCCGCAACTTCTCTGATGACACCAACCGGATGCTGATCAGCTCCGGGAAGGCAGGTTCTTGACAGATGAAGCCGACGTCTTCACTCACAACGCCTGGGACCACGTACCCCCACCAGAGGATCAAGCAGAGAAGATCGCCGCTTCCTTGGCGATGCAGCATTCAGCCCCAGTACCGGAAGACGAAAAGCACAAATATAATGACAGACCATCGCGACACTGGTGCGGCGCTTCCTCAGAGGCACAGTGAAATTGGATTGAGTGGAACTGTAGGGATAATTTCTACAAGAACAACGAAAGTAATTTCTTCAAGAACCGTAAATGGTACGCTCTTGAATGATACTAGTTTATAGGATGCTCAACATAAGCAAGGTTGCATACCGAGTTTCCGGAGCTCGTCCAGGCTCTGCAGCCGGAGGTACGAGACGTTCTTCGTATAATCGACGGGTCGTCTGTAACTTGAGAAGGCAGGGCCTGTAACCATTGCTGAGATCGGGTGCGGTAAGCGACCTCCTCTCGGAGCTTGGATCTCCCTTGAACTCGCTCATCAGGCGCTGGAAATGCCGTTTTTCCCCTTCTCATGTCGAACAAGAATCCTCAATTAATCATCCGTGCACACGACTATTCATCGCACGCTGTCAAGCTGGTCCAGGTAAGCTTGCCTCGTATATCCTTGCCTGGTGTACGATCTCATCCTCTGCCCGCTTACTTATGAGCACAACCCCCTCTACCTCGATCCGCCAATTGGTACCATATCAGCCTCGAAATGGGACCTGACCTCCGAAACCCTTCCGGAAGGTATCGAACCAGGGAGCGTAGATATCGCCATCCTCGTGTTCGTCATGAGCGCGTTGCATCCTGACGAATGGGGTCGTGCAGTTTCCAACATACACAAGGTAAACATTCCCCCGATGTCGCATGGCTTAGTGACACCGAGGTTTTCGGGTCTGCCAGATGCTCAAGCCTGGCGGGCTGCTCCTGTTCCGCGACTATGGTAGGTACGACCTTGCGCAGCTGCGGTTCCGGAGCAATCGGCTGCTGGACGAGAATTTGTACATCCGGGGCGACAAGACGAGAGTGTATTTCTTTGAAATAGGTACGCATCTGTTTTGCTGGTTCGCCAATGCCAAGACATTCAACGTTCGCAAAGATGAATTATCGCTCCTGTTCACCGGAGAACGGGCGTCTAGTGACGAGACCACTGACTCGACAAGGGTTGAAGAAGACGTGGAATCGCTCTCCAAAGATGTTTCCGCTATGGACCTGAGATCCCCACCACCAGGGTCTCCTCCGGCGTCCATTCGCTGGACAGCATCGGAATATCCATCCCGCGCTGATACCCATGCGCCTGCAACGCTTGAGGGCACTGCCGATGCGGAGCCCACAAGTCCACGACCAGATCCACCACCGCCTGTGATTCACCCGAGCCTTCTATCGACATCTCCTCTCCAACTCCCACACTGCCCGCCTCATCCTCTATTCGCGACGGAGCAGCTAGGCGTTGATAGGCGTCTGCTGGTTAATCGGAAACGTCAGCTGAAGATGTATAGGATATGGATGCAAGGGAAGTTCAGGAAGTTGTAGATAACGCTGTTCGTCTCGGACAGGCTTGTTGAATTCGAAGATGTGACCGTCATGTTGTAAGTGCTTCGATTCATGTCCACCATCGATCTAATATCGCATCTGATTGATAGATAATACTGCCATAGCCAGCAGAAATTTGTTCGAAGCACCTCTGATTAAAAGCGTGACTTACTCCATTGTGACCTTAGTTGTGACCTGCCGCGATCAGAAGGCGTGTTATTTGGTCGTGTTTCTGTGGCATGAATGCACAGTTTGAACTTCTCGTGCCACATCTTGCTTTTCCACCACAACTATAACCAGCACGACCCTAACCCGTCGCGTAGAACTTGCTTTACTGTGTAGCTGCCTGTAGAGATGGACCTCGACGCTGAATGGGAGGTAAGGTCAGATTGTGGCTTTCTTCAAGGGCATGTGGCGACGCTCAGTCATTCTCCATAGACTCGGTACTCCAGCGCTATGAACGGCTCAATCAGTGACTTCCGAGATCTCGTATCCTCAAACATCGATGGACCCATTCTCGGCGCGACTAAATTGAATGGACTGCTGGACATCATGGAGAGCCTTTTCGAGCGATACGCCGACACTCCTTGTCGCAACGTCGATGACGACGCCGCACTGCTCACTACAGCTTGCGTCGCTCTGTCCCTCCACGTGGATGCAAAAATGGTGCCATATGAGGAGTCGCGTGGTCTGCTGTGGTCTTGGCCGTCGGCCTGGAAGTTCACACTCCTTTCTATCTTACCTCTTCTCCACAATCCGTCGTTGGGTTCGATTGAATCGCGTTGCAAGGCGTTTGCGGCTGCCATCGACCTACTGCATCATTTTCATACAGATGTCAACACTCTGCGCGCCATGTTCACCACGCCCGGCCTCGTCGATCTCGTCTCGAGACTGTGGCTGATGGAAATCAGTGACCATGCTTTCTTGGCCGATACTCGCTACCGTTTTCACGCGACCTGCCTGATGAACATGCTCGTAGAAGAGGCGAATTTCGACTTCCTGGGTGTCCCTGTGGACTTCTCGGAGCCCCTCAGGTCCAGACGCATGACAGTGGCGGACACTACAGTCAAGTTCCTGCGCGACGTCTGCTCCGGGGCACCCTACGCGCCGACGCATGTTTCCAGGAATATCCATATAGTCACTGTCTTATCGGAACACGACGAAGAACTCCGTCACGCTTTCCTTGCAGCCAACTACATTTATTCGGTTACGAGGGTCCTCGTCAAACTCACAGCTACTCATCCATCTGAAGTAGTCGAAGAACCGGAGCGGCATGGATCCGCGATTGAGGCTGCCCTTTGGAATCTCTGGTTATTGGTCGGCTTTACAGATGGCTCGACGTGGGTGATACAAGCTCTGGAAGCTAAGTTGCTCCTGGGGCTGCTGAGATGTGAGCCCTGGCTTCCGTACCTGCAAGGCCACGATGATGAATGCTTCTACTCTTTCCTCTTCAATGTTCTGCCGAGCTACGCCGTTTACCGCTCGGTCCTTTGCGTCATGCAGAGATCTTTCACTTGGATTGTAGAATCTCAATTGCATCTAAGCAGATTCAGCGACGATCCGGAGTGGACTGAAGCCTGGGAGTATTTCATATCTACGCTGGAATCACAGTGGGCGTTGTTATCGTCAGTCCCCCACCTCCTGCCTGGGTATGAGAAGTGCTCCAATGTTGAGGTATGCCGCACTCTGCCATGCCATTATTGTACTTCGTTTATTGGGCCTGCAGTGCACACAAGAAAAGGCTTCTAATGAATTCTACAAGTGCAGTCGATGCCTCTCTGCACAGTATTGTAGTAAAGCTTGTCAGGAAACGGATTGGAAAGGATGGCACAAGGAGGCTTGCGATAGGATTCGAAAGGATCGCATTGGTGAGTGTTATGATGGACATTGACTTGGTGCGCTGAGTATACGTCTACCATCACAGATGCTTGGCCGCATAAACTGCCCGCAGAAGATGCCAAATTCATAGAGGTTATGCTCGATGTCGAGAGGGAGAAGCTGAAGGACGTCGTCATGAACTCCTTCTCCGATATGGGAAACAACTTGTTGGTCATGGACATCGACCTCCAAGTTTATCCTGCGAGAGCGGAGATCCGGCACCCAGAGGAGGTGAGATTCTGCGAGAAACACCAACTACCGCTGGTAGAGTGGTGGAATGACACGAAGAAGAAGGATTTGATGCATCCTTGCCTGATGGTGACTGCTTCGATCCCCCGGGAGTATCACGGGCAGTTCATCAAGGTTGTGAATTACGGCCCGCCGGACATACACTGGGATAAACAGGTCGTATACGGTCAAGGTTGCCCTTGCTGTTCGGGCATGTAATTACTTGTCCCGTTTATCGTATTTATAACCACAGAATCACTTCGCAAATATAGAATGGGACGCCACATAGTGACTACCCTTGCTATGCCAGTGGTACTTTGGATCCTGTCATGATCAATGACCAGTGAATGGGGCCAGAAATGGCAGTCAAGTCAGCGTTAACCACTAGCAGGCTTCCGTTGCATGCCCGGTTGCAGTTTGAACAAGGGGCACTGATCAACGTTTAGTATATAAAATCTTGACAGCCACATTCATGTCAGCGCCGGGCCACATCTTCGTAGTGCTCTTTCATCGGAAAAAAGTGGACTCATTTCACTGGGCACTAGCTGTCGAACAAACAAATAGGACGTTTACCAAGTTCCATGCCAAGAACACATTCGGGGGCATATGGTCCTATGAATGCACGGAACAAGATATTTTCAAGGATGCTGCCCTTGTGGCGCTAGTGGAGATCGGTAAGCCACAATCGCGTTCAAGTGCATCAATATCCACGTTCACCTCGGCGTATAGGAGGCCTGAATAAGACAAATACAACGGTCCACGATCTGCATGAGCTCTTCAAGGCCATCCCCATGGCCACACCTCGAGCGGATGGAGGGCGCCGCACTCCATTCAACTGCATAATCTGGCTGCGACAAGCTGTTCGTAGTCTGAGCGACCACAACGTCATCTCATGTAATGATGCCGTCGCTCTGGAGAATGAGTGCCAGAGACTCGCTGAAGAGCATGCTCCGGAAGTTTTGCAGGGTAGTGAAGGATACAGGGTTTTCAAATCAACGATTTCAATGTAATCGCGGATCCTGGACGGATATTGCATGAGTCGCAGTCTATGTAGTAAAGTACAGGATATGTCCGTTCAGATTAGGGGATACATTATGAGGTGATTATAAGCTTGGCACCAGTCGTAGCAAGGACGTGACCGAGATCGTAAATCCGGAGTAAAAACATGAAATGGCATGCAGATTATATACGTGAGATCAGAGCACATGAAGGGCAGAGCACTGTCGAACAAAGCCTGAGCGCCCGGTGAAAAGAAAACAATGGACGTTACTCACCCAGGCTGGCCGACGGTCCAAGAATATCACTGAGGGACTTCATGCAACATCTGGTGACTTTAGATACGCTGTTAGTACTATCCGCTATCAGAAATCCTAAGAAACGAGACCTACACTCCCTCCTCCACCTGCGTCCCTTGCAGTCCTAGTCCCCCACGTATGCCTCTTTTGCCGCCCGATCCTCAAATACTCCGTGATAGTCCTCTTCAGCTGCGGCGCGGACACGCCACGCTTGAGCACGCCGTTCCCGCTCTTCCTCTGCGGCTCCGACTCGCGGATCGACGACTCGAACGACACCGACGTCGAGGTCGACTGGCTTGCGCGGTGGTGCGTCGGGTGCGCCGCTACCGCTGGGGCTTGCATGGAAAATACACGGCTCGGGCCAGGGCGCTCGTCCCACTCGAGCGAGCGGTCGTCCTGCGAGAAGGGCCGACTGCGTGTCCTAGGTGGTGGGCGGAGCTCATTGTCGATAGGCGAGTCGGGGTCTGAGTGCCGCCCGTCCTCGCGTTCGGTATATTTAGGAGGGAAGTTGGACTGGTCGTGTGGCGCAGAGTAGGGATGCGAGTGCTGCTCGGCTTCGTTGTCTGCAGACAGGTCAGTCATCTCCAGCCGCGGCAGAGGAAGTAGGGGGAGACTCACCACCGAGGTTCCCGTTAACCCGTCCACTCATCATATCGCCCACCTCAATCGTTGACGTCCGCTGGCCGGGCGCAACTGTATTCTTACTCCCGTTATCCAGTTCCAAAAACGACCCGCCCTGCGGCTTCACAGCACTCGCCGGGCTGTGACTGCTGGCAGAATCGAGCTGCAGCCGTGGCACGGGCGGCATATCCTCCGTGTCCAACGCCCACGGCGCCTGTGCCCTGCTCCTGCTACGGCTCCTGCTTCGGCTACGCTGCCTTCTTCGCCCGGATCGATCGCCCCTCTCGTCAGTCTCGTCGGCGCCGGACGCATTGATGAGGTCGTCCACCACCGTCTTCGGGAGGCGCAGGCTCGCCTTGGATGCGCGTACGCTGCGTTTCCGCGCAGACCGCACGCGGGCGAGGCGGCCCCCGGACGAGCGCGACGCCGAGGTGCTCGCGACGCTCACCTTGCTCATGCGCCGGCTCGCCTTGCTGTCGTAGTCGTCCTCGGGGACTTTCTCGTCCGCTGGGTTAAATGTAGTAGCCTTCGTGACGTGGGCGGTGCCCGTGATGCCCATTACCTGCGCCATCGCGACGCTGTTCATCGTCGACTCGCCCGGGGGCGGCTCGAGCGCGTCCAGCTCCTCCTCATCGTCCTCGTCCGCCTCGAGCGCAACCTCTTCTGCGCAGCGCCACGCCTCCTCCAGCTCCGCCTCGAGCTCCTCAATGCGCCGCCGCGCCTGCCTGAGCTCGTCCGTGCGCTTTTTGTACGATGCATTGAGTTTGCGGAGAGCCACCGCCAGGGCAGAGGCCTGGTGCACTTCTTGGAGGCAGGTGATTTGGTGCTCGTGTGTCGTGGCTTGGAGGAGTGTGTGCGTGTGCTTGTCCAGGGTGCCGACTAGTGAGCTAAGCTGTGAAATGAGCGAGGTAAGGGTGTTGAGGCCTTCGGAATCGGAGGCGTGGTGAGAGTAAGCGTAGGAGTGTAGGGATTGAATGAGCATGTTTCGTCTGTGAGCCAGGAACTTGTACTGCGCCTGTGTGGAGAAGCGGGTCGTCTCCAGCTGCTCCTTCTCCCTCGGCATCTCCACGTCCAGCGCCTCCAGCGATAGCAACCGCAGATGTGATTCCTGCGCGGTGTACCGAATCGCGCGCGACACGATCTCCTGCAGCTGTTGTGAGCTGAATGTCCATCGTGCTGCCTCCAGCGGCAGGCCCTTGAAAGGCGTCGGGGAGATCTCAAAGTCCACAGGAGCAGGGTACGGCAGGGGGGTAATTTGGACCTTGCGAGTCGATGGTGCGGGTACCTGCACTGATTTCTCGGCTGTACTGGTGTGGCGCTGGGGTTGGAATGTACAGGGCGCCTCGTAGATCGGTGGGAGCACCGGGGAAGGCTCGGTCGCTGAAGGGGACGGACTGTGCGGCCAGTACGAATCGGACGAGGCCTCTGTCTGAATCAGCGATGCCTTGGACGGCGGCTTACGCAGGCGGGGCCCGCTGGGCAGTGGGGGGCGGCCACGGGTAGAGCTGGGTGTGCTCGACGACATCGTCGCCGACGACGGGGTAAGAAAATCGAGCCCTGGGCACTCCATCGATGTCGACGACAGCGACAAGACCTAAAGTGACGGCCGTGATGGTGGGAGGCTAAAAGCAGAGGGTTTAGCGCCGACGGTCGCGTCCGACGTCCGTCGCGAACAGGCTCGGGAACATTGTGTAATGATGGGTGATGGGGGACCTACAATCCTGGCATGCCCTGATTTAATTCTCCATCGAACCTAATCGCGTTAGGCCGTGGAGTGCTTTTAGTTCCGTTATCTAGCCAACAGCCGCAGGATGCGGGGAAGCGCAGTAGCAACCAGGCGCCGTCGACATCGTCGACGAGTGTAAGGATACAAGCATGAGCAAGGTCAACATGGCAAGTCTCTACATAGACAAATTTTGCATTTCTGGGAAAACCTGAGGAATACACGTGCCCACTAATTTACACTAATCTCATCATATCTGATCTCAGGTATTATTTGTCTTTGGTTCAGAATCGAATGCCCTGCAGTCCAGCAGTCAAATACTGTATCCTTCATATCAGGTAGGTTGTACTAGTAGTAGTTGTTTGATGGGGGCCAATTCCAAGCAAATACACTCTTACCCATTAGATTTCATCTCTCCTTGAGTTCCAAACACACCCATCCACTCCCTTGCATTGTGGATCATAAGCCATTTGAGAGGCACCAGCTGTGCTCTAATGATGGTTTATTGATTTGAATGCAGAAGACACACATGTTGCCACATGAGTGGCCGCGAGAGGGTTTCGGGCACACGCGAGTCCTTGAGATGTCCTGTTGTTATACAGCCACTTCAGGAAGGACTCATCCATCTGACAATCCACTTATTCCAGGAGCCAACACTTATTTTGAGCAATAAACGGATGCTCTTGCATATTCACCGCAAGTGCCGGCAATTATTGCAGGTCCATACCCACTAGTAGGGGCATGTCCGGAAACGCCGTCCATCCGGCGGTTCGTCGGAGGCAGGTCTATTTTCCCTAGGATCGTTGGGTTATGGCGTAGGAACTCTAAGTGACGAAAGACATGCAAGTGTAAGGCACCGGTGATTCCCCTGGCGGGGGCGGATGCGATGTGAGTGCCCTCTCGGGACACTGGATACGAGTCTCCACTCCCACCGGCACTGATATGCTTTGTCTCCTTTGTGTCAAAGAGCGATGAAGGCCTTTGTCTCTTTATAAGATTGAAACAGAACCAGTTCAGGACCATCAGGACAGGACCTGTGGTAGATCGCTGTGACAGTGGGTTACTTACTTTATGATGGGTAATCCATGCAGGCCAAGCGCTTGTCCAGGAGCCAATACTTGTCTCACCGTATGCTCACCTAGGCCGTACGGGTTACCCTCCACTGCAGAATCAGTAGTCCCGGCAACCTACCACAAGACCGATGCATCATCTATTCTCATTGACAGCGACCCCTTGCCGGTTCCGCATCTGCTCGTGATTACCGGCTCCTGATACTGTACTGCGGCTCATGGGAGAGAGCCAGATACAGCATCGTACTGTACACACGTAGAGCGATTTTCGGCTGTCATCATGACGTCGGACATCCATGGTTGCAAAACCGAGATCGCCGTCTATGATGTCTTCTCGCCAGTGCGAGTGAGCTGCCCGAGAAAGACATGAAACGAAGACCAAATTTAAGGAACTCACCGATAGACCACCGGGGTGAGCAATAATTACCGAACAATGAGATGAATGACAGTATCGTCATCCATTGCATTTCCGGGCATGGGATCTCGGCTCCGTAGCGCCTATGTCTTCAGGCAAGGACCGACAATCAGAATCCAAGGAACATAAGCATAGGCACCAGACACGACCCAAACATCATCCACAATTGACATTGAACTTAATCATACAGCCTCCATCGATCACATCATACAATACGGATCACTCTTCCCTACGTAGAAGAAATTCGACACGTTAACTCCTAAGCCCTCACAATGCGACGACTCACACATTCATGAGGAAGCGCTCTTCGCGAGTGCGATACACCCCGCGTTCCCGATGACCGTGAACTTCTCCCCTTCCTTGCCCTCAGTCGTGGCTCCAACCTCCTTCGGCAGACCCGCGCTACCCAGCTCGCCAGCCACCCGCATACCCTTTGCCAACACAGACACCTGCGCTTGGGAATCAGCTTTTGCGACCAGAGCAAGCAAATACAGAGACGTACGTCGATGGCGATACTCACGAACCGTGAGATCACCGAGAAGACCGGACTAGAAGCCAGGTGGGTGAAAGGGAAGCAGAGAAGGTGAAACCGAGACGTACACAAGCACCGACTCGACCGGCCTGCTTTCTCCCCGCTGAGCGTTCTGTAAGAACCCCGGTCGGAGGATGATAGTGTCGTCATAGCCCAGCGACGCCAGCGCCAGTTCGGTCAGGCCTTTACTCCTAAGTTGCGGGAGGGTGAGGTAAGGATACAGGAAGCCCGCGAAGGACGGCAACGTTAAGTACGTACCGAGGGTAAAGGAAGGGCGCACTCGGGTTCGCACCGCCGCTCTAATCAGAAAAAATGTGAGTGCACAGTGGAAATTACCGCAGGTTGTAGGCTAGGAGCTTACGGAGAGGTAAACGAGCCGTTGCTTGTGCGTGGGGTCGTTGGACTTGGCTAGGCGGGCAGCATTCACCACATACCTGCGCATACATCCCGTTCAGACCAAACTTGTAGGACGAGAGGAGAGATATGCGTGCACTGCTCACTCTCTGTCGATCTTCTCGAAAGCCGCGGCGCTTCCGGCCTTTGCGCGCGTCGTGCCGAGCCTGGTAGTGGTATAGCGTAAGTACCGATCAAAACAGTAACCCTTGTGCATTCCAGTAGTAATGTAAGCCAACGTAAAGGGTATACGTACGTGATATAAACCACATCCCACTTCCCCGCGTCCAACCCAGCCTCCTCTAGTTTCTCAAAATCAATCTGCTTCTGCTCGAGCTTCTCCTTCCCGCTGGTAAGGCCGTCGAGAGGGGTCACTCGCCGCCCGTACTCGCCCACGCGCGAGTAGTACGAGGAGGACAAGAGTTCGCGGAGTAGGTGCTTCCCCGTCGCGCCAGTTGCGCCCAAGATGAGTGCAGATCTGCCAGCAGCTGCGTTCACGGTACTGATCAGCTTACTGCAGTAATATATATTAGACGAAGAATGTGCGTACCCGCCATGTCCAAGAAAGCAAGAAATTAGGGTAAGTTGTGGTGTCTGGAAAAGAGTGGCAGCATCTGGCTCCTGATGCCGGCGAGTCGCGTCATCGACTCGGACACGGCTGCAGACGAGTGCCGCTTTCGCCCGTCAGCAACCGGAAAAGCAAAATGTCGTCGACATGGCATGTATCCAGAGTGAGTTACATTATTAATGACCATTATGGAGATTCAGTTGGGGTTCAGTTCTAACTACGAAAAGTGGCTTGGAGGAATAGGAGCTTGACACTGACAAAGGCTTCCGACAATTGATCAATCCGACCCGATCGGACGGGCGCCCAAACTAGTCTCAGGGAGACGAGCTTCCGGATATAGTGAGAGCCACAGCATTACCAGTCTTCACGATATATACTATGTATAATGGTAGACACATCCGATCTCACACATAGGCGAGAAATACAACAACCAACAGCCTCTAGATCAATCCTCATCGTCCCCAATAATATGCGCCGTGATTGGCGTCTCCTCCCCGCTCGCAGTGTTGGGCACAGGGGCGTACCACCGCGGCGCGCCCCCATGGGGCAGCATCTCGATGTTCTCAATGCTCTTTGCGGAATTCGATGAGTCAGGAGCGTTTCGCCCGCTTGCTGAATATAGGTGGATGAGGGACAGTATGAGTGTGTACAGGATGAATGCAAGGCTATAAAGCGGTGATGTGACAAAAATTGCGGAAGTAAACGAAGCAGCGACGCACCTGAACATAATGAGGATGTAGGTAACGTGATCCATCCCGTTGTCGTGCACGTATTCGAGTTCCTCATCGGTCGCAGACATGAATAGTAACCTATCCCTACTCAGCACCCTTCGCTTAGACATGGGAACGAGACTTACCCAGCTGCAACGAGTAACTAGTAATGTCCACGTCGCTTTCAGCCTGTATACTACACCGACAACTCGAATCACTCACGAAAGGAGGGAAATGCCTAAACGCCTTTCCGGCTTTCGCGGGCCCTTGACCTCTTTCAAAGAACCCTCCAGTGTAGTCTCTCTCCCTTCCCTCGTCACCTGCCAAGGTATGCTCGCTGTGTGCATCCCCATCCGCATCGGCCGCAGGGTTGGAGATCTTCGACGGGATGAAGCATATCTCGACGATGCGAGTCACACCGGCCAGCATGAGCGTATGGCCGAAAGTTGCATGAACTTTAGTGGAAATCATGAGAGCTTGGGCGTGCTCCGACATCGCCCACCCAGTCAGGATGATGCTTGAGTCAGTAGAGGTCAGCTTGGGTGATAATACAGATAAGCGGGGGATGGTCTACATTAGAGCAGGAACAACGCTGCGCTATATGTCCGCAGGCAAGATCAGCCATAGGAAACAAAGGGATGAAAGTCGCGACCTACATTATTATTGCGAGAAAGGAAGATGCCAAGTGCGCCGCCAGCCCACCCTGTGAGAAGACGCATTAATTCGATGCACACGCGGATTCAGCTGCAATAGCGGAAACAATCTTACACAGAACACCCATGATCCTTGTGTCATTCGGGTCATTTTTTGTGCTGTACGGCTATCCGAGGATGACTCACGTATGTTGCATATCCTTGACGGACCAGGAACCACCATGATGCTCCGTGAAGGTATTGACTGGTCCCGCGTCAGTATCAAGAAAACCAAGCACCCATACTGGGCGGCCTACCGATTCCCCAGAGCATGATGACCCACGAGTCCCACCACTCCGGACTGCGACCAACCCGACGCACCCAGTTCTCTCCCACTATTAACAAGATAGCCATGATGACACCGTACGCGATAAACCCACTTCCCTGTAGAGTCCTTTAGTCAACACTCCTTGCGGCCTGATAAACTGCGCACCATAATGTAGTGAGCCAAGCACTGGCCCAGATGCCCACCGCGACAATATCCGCGGAATGCAATCGCACCAAACAGCATCTGGGTCCATCCGAGGACGGGGTATGCCTTCCCAACTACTCCGTGCAGTTTCACTGCATACGGTCGAATAGACTGTTCGTGGATGTGCAGTTTAAGGTAGATGCCGAGCACCAATTGGGTGAGGATGGGGATGAAGAGGATGGTGGCGAAGGTTCCGTGTACGGAGGCGTAGAATTGTCGCCCTTTATGCGAGTGTCCGAGAACAATCCCGGCGAATGTGAGGGCGAATCCGGCACTCTGGACCAAGTCAGACGAGATGAACTTGCACGAACAATTTGTCGCTGCGGGCACCAAGCGTTACCCAGCATCCCGAGAGACGACCAACGTCAAACAGACGAAAAACACCTCCAAGTGATCTCCAGCCATAAGACATTGGTTGTCTAACGGTCTGACCCGGGGCACGCTCGCTGTCCGCAAGCGTCACGAACACTGAGACTCACCTGCAACGGTACATGCCAGCGACTCCTAGTCAGTCCCAAGACCATCCCAGTGGGAAACAGAATCCCCCAAACGAACGCCTGCAGCGCCATATGTATCCACAAAATCGAGTCCACCGGCGCATTCATCTGTTCCTCGCTCAGTTCATGATGGTGTTCGTGCGCAATGGCCGGCAACGCCAGGGCCAGAATAATCGACAGTGTCTTCGCAAACATTACAGTCGGTATACCGTGTTACAAGATTAGGTCTACAGAGAGCAGGGGACGACGCCCGGCGCTGGGCCGCCCAGGAATAATATGGAGGAGGAGGAAGGTGCCGTGGGAAAATCTCCCCGTCATGTCGGGCGACATCAACGATCAGCTTTGCTGAGCCCGACTCTTACCGAGCATCGCCGACCGCAGCGGCAGAGATGTCAGGAACAGTGACCGTCTTCGTCAAGTCGCCCGACACGCGCTCGGAGCGCCGCTTCGATCTGCACCTCACCGTCGGGCAGCTAAAGGTTGCGTGCGCCAGTCGCGCTCTCGTCCCTTGCGCCAGCAGCTTATTTCGATCATTATAAACCTCTGTCTATCTATGGATCACTCAAACTCCTGCGATATAACATGTAGGGCAAGCTTGAGCTTGTTACTGGTATACCAGTATCCAACCAAGCTATCTCGGTCTTGAATTCCGAGGCGGACGCGCAGGTTGTGGGGACATTGGACGATGAGAGCAAGCCACTCGGGTTCTATGGTCTGAGGGATCATCAAGTACTGAATGTGAGTCCTGAGCTCTCGACTCCGTTCCTTGGACACGGTCTAAGCGATGCTTCAGGTGGTGGATACTGACCCAGCTACGTCGCTAACGGGGCAGTTGAACGATGTTTCGCAAGTGCAGAAATTTGAGCTGAGCGAGAGCGAGTACCAGAAGCGGCAAGGTACTGCCGTATTTCTTGCATTTCCTCAGCTCTCTGATTCAGTTTCCATTACTCGATGGCGACAGACAGTGTCCTCGCGTACAAGCAACAGCACAAACTCGGTCGCTTCGCTGACAAGAAGGAGGATGAAAGTACCCATCAGCCGGCCCCCGAAGTGAACATCCCCATCGGAGCTCGCTGTGAAGTCGAGTCTTCTGAGCCAGGGCTGCACAAGAGGGGCACCGTGCGGTTCGTCGGGCCTACCAAGTTCGCCAGCACGGGTATATGGGTCGGTATCGAGTACGACGAGCCGTTTGGCAAGAATGATGGATCGTAAGTATCAAAAGCATGCGGGCGTATGCATTCTGAATGAACCTTCGTAGCGTGCAAGGCGAACGGTACTTCACTTGCCGGCCCAATTACGGTGTATTCGTGCGCCCCGAGAAAGTCAGAGTCGGGGACTTCCCTGTGGAGGACATCAATATGGAAGATGAGGAAATATGAATACCTGAGTGGAAAAGACGATAGGGTATTTGCAGTTTGTCGTTTGATTGGCTGAAATTGAAGCGACCTTTGTGCTTGTATTGGGAAGTTGTGGTGTCGCGTATGGCCTTCTAAATGTCCCAAATCTTTGTTGAGCCGGCGTGCTTTGCGAAGGTGTGGGTATATTTGGAGCGCCATAACATAGTGCTGAAATGTTACGAAACTGCGGTTGGTTGCGTCGGCTCTGCATAAAGCGGGGGACTTCATCGCTGAACAGGCCTCCGGAATCGCGTTAAATCTTACAGCTAGGCCCGTTCACTGCCATATTTTGCGGTGGACGCTGCTTCCCTTTGTCTCACCCTGATTCCCGGAATCCGGTTACACATTTGGTCAGGCTACGTGTAGAGTTATAACAGCAAACTTTAGTGAGTGGTTCATGGATTCGTTGTATTCCTGAGTTTCAAGCAGTTCTGAGTTCCTTGTGCGCTTTCCCTGGTGGCTGACGACGTCACGTGACTGGGACGCGATCCGCAGAAGACGCGTCTACCCATCTCCGGACCCTTCACACCGACGATCGGTGGCTGACACCCCTTCACTGTCACCCGCCGACCTCGAACATGTCACCTCCAAGGTATATAAACCGTCGCTCCTTCTGCCATGGCTCCTCACCCCCCTTCCCTCTCTCCCCCCATCTCCTCCCCCGCCTTCGCTTTCGTATTGCTTTCCTGAGTCCTGGTGACTCTTGCTTTCGTTTTGCTTTCGATCTCTACACTACTTCACACATTACTACCATAATTTCTTGCGACCGGTTCGCCTTGCGTCCTCTCTCTTCGTCGCCGCTACCCCACTACATCCTCCGTCACGATGGTCGTCCTCAGCGGTCGCTTTGCATTCCTTCTAGCACTGTCTTCCCTCGCCCTCACTTCCGTCCCTCTGTCTGCTGCGGTACCTACCACCCAAACTTCCCACTCCGGCGCGGTAGGGAAGCGCCCACAGACGCCTTCCACAAGGATCCAGATCCCTCTACCAGCCAATCACTCATCTCACCCAAGTTCAGGCGGTACTCGAAAGGTATCATCGGATGCAGTCAAGACTGCTAACAAGAGCAAGGGTGGATCTCACACCGGTTCTGGTGGCAAGGGAAGGAAGAGCAAGGGAAAGAAGGAAGATAAAGACAAGGTGAGGTCCCTGGTATTCTTCCAGTTTGTCGTCTGACTTCGACATCACACTTAGCGTTCTCTTTACTATGCATCGCCGTCTGCGTTCGATCCCATGAACCCTCTCTTGCGCATGGGTGATATATCCATCAAGCGCTCGTCGTCGTCCGAGGGTGAGAGCGAGAGTAGGGTATCCTCAAGGTTCTTCGGGCACAGCCGAGTTCGGTCGCAGGGCTCTCGTCCCGCATCGTATCTTCACTCCGGTACGTCGTCTGAGGGTACGGTCGTAAAGGGGTCCAGGGTCTATGCAAGGCGGAGCGCCGACCATGACCACGATCATGACCACGACCATAGCCACGGTCACGACCACGACCACGACCATGATCACAAGCGCGATGTGGTAGTGGAAGGCGACCATGATCACGTTCACGCCCATGGAGAGAAGGTTATCGTCGACGGCAAACACGACCACGTCCATATCCATCGCCGAGCAGACCATGACCATGACCACGACCACGACCATGACCACGACCACGACCACGATCATGATCACAAGAGGGATATAGTGGTCGAGGGTAAGGACGACCACGCGCACATCCATACGCATGGCGACAAGGTCGTGGTCAAAGGTGATGACGACCATGTTCATGTTCACGGACATCGGCGTTCCATCTGGTTATCCGGCACCCGAGGCGACAATTACCTCATTCAGTCACATCCTTCCGAAAATGGGATGAGTATCGGCATGGGGGCTAGCTTGGGGATGGGCGCGCACATGGAGGCGAGGGACTTTGCAGACCTTGATCTAGGGATGGTAGGAGTTCCTGGAACAGTCGATATCATGGTGAGCTTCTCGATGCCATTGCTACCACATCCGTTCTGTTCACTCACGCGTTCACCAGAGTATACTGGCAACCCCTCCATATTCCACCAAGATTGCCTCTCTAGTGCTTGCTACGATGAACTCGAGCGGCGATTACGGAGCTTACGATGCCTCTAACTCCACCAGTACTGATGGAACATCGGAGAGTGGAAACGGGACGTCGTTCGTACTGAACGTATCAGACTCCAAGCAGACCAAGATGTTCCTGGTCCCTTTCAACAATGACTCTGCAGTCGCAGCGTCCGACGATTCCTCTTCCTCTACCACGACTGGCAGCGATACCTCCACGTCTGCAAGTTCTTCGACGACGTCGATGACGAGCTCGGCGTCTTCGTCTGCGCCCACAGCTTCCTCGGTGACTATGCAGGCTGCGTCGCAGGACATTCCTGTCACTCTTCGCATTCCCGTCTTCAACTCCGAACAGGCCGAGATGGTAAACTATTGCGCGACGTTTGACCCCGACCCCGTCAAGCCTGTCGTGATGAGTGTGGAAAGCTGCATGAGTAGTGGTGAGTCTACAATTACGCGCTCATGACCTCTGCCGCATCCCGTTCTCATAATGGCCCTCGTTCTAGGTACCGCCCCTGGGAAGTCCCAGCTCTTCGCCTATAATACGCAGTCGGGCGTCGTTCGTCCGATGTGGTTCGCAGGACAAGATGACGGGATGTCTGACTCTACACCGGATGCTACTTCTACGACTATGGTCACTTCAACCTCGACTGTCGCTTCGACAGTAGCTCCTACGTCGACCGGTTCTGTCTCCGCGGCGAGCATGCCCATCATCGACAATGGCGACGATTCGGAAGGCAAGGACAGCAGCGATGACTCCCTCGTGGATCCTGGCACGCCGGACAACGCCAACGTGGCTAGCGTGACCTCGTTGAACTCGGAAGGTGCCGCTCGCGGGTTCGACGAGGAGAGCTACGGAGATGACACGCGGCCTGGGTTCTCGTACGCTGCAGAGGAGGGTGCTCCCTCAGGAAGTGGACAGGCCCAGCCTATGAACGTGACCTTAGTGTTCACTCCCGAGATGCCTGTTGCTGTTGGCGGGAGCCCGTCATCGCAGACGACTGGTACCTCAAGCTCTAGCGACACCGTGGCGGCTACGGCGACTGCTCAAGACGCGCTGTCCTCCACTACTGGTACCGACTCAGCAATGACGACTTCGAGCGATTCGAGTGGGACCACAGTCACCGCTCAGGATGCTACGTCTACAACCGCCAGCTCGGACTCTTCCTCCTCGACTATTGTTTCTGCCGACAATGTTGCCTCCACTTCTTCTTCAACCGACTCCTCTTCCGCTTCTAGTTCGGATGGTACGACTGTCACACGTTCCCTCCAGGTACAAGTCGTTGCTGCGACTCCGACGCCCACTATGACGGAGACTGCGACGGGATCTTCCATGACGCCGGTTAGTACGGAGCCTTATGAGTGGATGTTCACACCTAGTGCTAGCGCCTAGTACGGTGGTGAAACGAGTAGGACACTATTGTATGTGTATCCTTGTTGTATGATAGGTATCGCGAGAGTTTCGATTTGTATTTTCGGATGTAGCGTAGATCTGTGTATTGTGTCCCGTTGCGTAAATTGGAGTGGTCTGGTTGAAGCTGATGGCGTATTATGACTATACCTTCAACCATAGACTGTCTGATCAGTATATAGACTGTGAATTTCGTCAGACGCGCAACTGCCTTTCCACCATCACACGAGGGACTGTCCTGGACATAGATATGCATAAAGTAGCACACTGATCTAACCCGTCAGGAGTACAGACCTCACACCCTTTTAACGAGGTGAGCATCTGCTCAGCCAGGAGAGCATGAACATCTGACGTTAGATGCAGTTCGCCCTCCCATCCACCACCCTCGTCTACCGGGTCGTCTTCTGTGGACTTGTACTCTAGGGGATCGTCAATTATTTCGCTGAGTACCTGATGGGACGAGACGACGAAGATGGCGAAGTCTGAAGCTTGTGTTCGCAGACATTCGTTCCAAGTTTCGGCTCGTTCCTTCACTTCGTCCGAGGAGTCGATACCTATGGTAGCGTGAGTATGTATCTCAGACAGGAATGAGTTTTGCTACCACCGGATGACCGGTGGATGGGCCCAGTTTCGAATTCGGTATACAGGTTGTGGACAGCGTCGAGGAGAGACTCGACGAGTGGCGCCAAGTCGTCCGAGGGCGTCCTACTGCAGCCGTTGATACCGATGTATGGAACTGGTGGACAGATGAACTCATGGAATCAGAAGGTAAGACGAGTTCTGATATGTCGCACCGTAAGTGCTTTCAGACGGGTCCGGCGCGCGGTCCGGAGCTCGGGGGAACAAGTATCGGGAAAGCTGTGCAGAGAGGTCGCTTCGACGGTCACCCCAGGGGCTGCGAAGTTGTGAACGCGAGCGGAAACGTTTGTGAGTGCGTTGGAGATGTGGTCTGTCTGTAAGTTCACATGCAGTATAGGATGCGAATGATGCTATTCCTACCCATCGGTAAGCGTTTTCGTCGGTGAACTCGTCATCTTCTGCCGTGGGAGAGCTGTACGAGTCCCCACTGGAATGGAAGTAGGACACGGCCCAAGATCTTGGTACTTACAAGACGATGATGTTCTTCAAGGAATTTCGACCATGCCAATGGGTGCTGGGTTTCGCTTTAGGTAAATATCCTGAAAGAGGTAATACGTAGATGGCAAATGAGAATAAGAACACTACGCTGACTGCTTGTTTTGGGGGGATCGACGTCGGGAGCGTCGCGGTTTTGGCTGACAGTCTGCTTCGCCTTCATTCCTCTCACTGACGCTTTCTGGGGGTGTTTGTCGTTATTCTGGAAGACCTCTGGACTCTGGAGGTCTTCCTTCAGCCATACTGCGCAATTGACGTTCGATTTACGAGGTAGGAAAGTAGTCAAGCTGCAGTCACCGTTACGCTGACCCGAGGACTCGGATTGACCAATCACAGCCGTCCATCAATTTTGATGGCTACCAACCTCCGAAGCAGTACGACTTACAAGGCTGATCGCTCCTTTGTACTCAGCCATAAGGGCACGGTGGTGCCGCGACGGCCCTGGTATGCGTTCTTGAACAATGGTGTCGTGCCAACGCATCGTTGTTTTCTATGGACTTGGGGTCGCTACTCGGCACTGGCAGTCGGCCACTAGTAGTACTTGCAGGCGGTTCGTTTCGCTTACTACAACGTAGCGAACCGCGCGATACGATATTTATCCTAATTGAAACCATCTCCTCACTGATTTCAGCTCCGATTGCGCCATAGTTGGGGTGCCTTTGTGTGGTAACGGTTCCTCTTTCTACGGAATCATCGCATGTGGCTCTCGACCGAATATCTGCAACGATTGCCAAGGCAGTAAATCGCTTCCGACGGGTGCCGGAAATACAACGTCGACCTCAAATTCTCCCTGGTGCGCGTTCTCTCCCATAGTTACCAGGGGCCAAGCATCCTCAGCGACGGCTCTGTTGTGCTCGAAATGGATCTCGGGTTGAATGCATGCAGCTTTGGTCTAGTGCCGTTGTGATATTGTTCCTCTTTGTTCACTCGCCGGAATATATAAAAAGTCTCTCCAGCTGTTGGCTATAGACAGAAATTCATCCAACCTCATCGCCCTCATCTCAAAACGATTACTACCTTGCCTTTGACTTTCATGGACGCCAGCACTGCAGCGAGATTTGAAGTAAGTCATATTGCGAGCTTGGTATCCCCTCGCGTTTACCAGGCTATTGTCATCTACTAATTTGACTGATTGATGTGTCACCGACCGTACAGGAGCTATACAAAAGGGCACTTGATGGGGAGATAGACGATCTCCGTCCCCTCACGCATTTCCTGGAACGCGAGGATACACCTAATCTCGACACAGACCAATCCCATGCCATACTTAACCTTCTCAATGTTCGCTTTCGCAAGTACGATCATAAGGACTTCTGCGATGGCGCGGGGGTTGACTTGGCATGGGATGCCTCGGCCTGGATCACTAAATTTATACAATCCAATCCCGAAGGAGTCACCGACCATGGCCGGGGACTTTCCGAACTATGGGATAGCGCCTGGTCATTTATCTATGGATCCATACAGCCTTTGATAGCAGGTGACCTTCTCCAGCCTCAGCATGAGCGCGAAGAAGAAGACTTCATGCTGGGAGCTATGGCTGGCTTGCTCTTGCAGCTGAACGATGACCCGTCCACTTGGCCTCGGATGATCCAGACGAGAGGATTTATCCCCACTGTCGTATTCCTATGGGTCGCCGAAATCAGAGGGGCAGCGGAGCAGAACGACGCGTACAGCTTTCGTATCACTCTGCTACTCCGAGGTCTGCTGACGGACATGACAAATGACGTCCTCCAAAATTTTGTGCAGCAGTTCCAAGAATACTCCCCCCTGATTGCGAGGGCTGTCACCCCTTATCTGCATCTCGCCTGCGTGCACGACTACCTCATTGAGGACTATATGCCCCTCATTATCGACATGATGAGTGACTTGTCGTTTATGAATCACGGATTTTACAGGGCCTTCGTCGCCTCTGGATCAGTCACTGCTGGCACCAAACTCCTATTCAGATTAGCATTCTCGCTTCCTCGGCAACCCGATGCTGCGCGAGACGAGTGTTATGACATGACTTTGAAGGCGATCCTGTCCTTCCTCTACACTGTAATAGCCTCGGACTCTGCCCTCGGTCCGGTCGCGCTTGCAGAGGCTTGCAACGCGGGTCTACTTCAAGCACTTCTCCAGTGCGACCCCGAAGTGCCAAATTCGGGATATGCGGACTATTATCACCTCCTAGAGAAGGTCCTCCCCAGTTACGCAGTCGATTCCGGCGTTCTGCATCTCCTGAACGAGTGCATCTCGTCCGTACAACGGTGGTCGGGATGTCCTGAAGTGATGGCCCGCCTTTCCCCTGGGATGTCTATTGCCTGGAAAAACTTCACGGACGCTATCCGTGATGCTCAGATTGCCAGCGCTGCTGGTGGTTCCACCCCGGGCTCTGCGCCAGTTCCATAACGAGATGGTGCGCTCCCCTGTGGTCAATCAATACATTTCCGGAGCTCACCGCGCCCCTCAAATGTAGTTGCTCGCGCAGACGACCTCGCCAAGTTTATGGTGCTGAAGAACTTGAGACTTTACTACCGTCCTTCCAACGCTGATCATTTATGTATGTACATAATGGCCTGGAATCATTTTAGACATTAGCATAATAGACTGTGTTATTCTTGACCCGAGAATTTTCGACGAGAAACGTACATGATAAGATTCTGCAGAATCATAACCAGTCCAAACTGGCGGCGATAAGTTGATACACGAACGGTGACAACTTGGACAGTATGCGGCTCTTCATACCAAGGTCCTTGGGACAGTCGCAGCGAGGCAACCTGCAGCGGATATCCGATATATCATGAGATCTTACATGCAGCGCCAGTAAGATATACATATTAGTTAGTTTCTGCATTCCGTCAAGTCCCAAGTTAATAAATACATGTACAAGGCTTGCCCATCTCCTACTTCTCGCGGACGCACCCTCCGGGGAGGAGGAATCGGAATTTATCGCTGTTCTGCAGGATATGTAAGGGGACGTGTAGGGCCGAGGGTGACCTGGAGTCGAAAAAGGCTCAGTCTCAGAAGGTCAGAGGAATGATGGGAAGAAACGACGTACGGGTCTTTGTTGAGCAAGTCAAAGAGGTCTTTGTACTGGAAGGCGAGTCGACCAATGTTAGCTGCCGTAGAACACCAGGATAGAAAACCAGCGTACTCGATAGGCTTCTGGCAACATCCCGAATATATCGTCTCCCGAGCACACGACCTCTTGAATCCGATCCGGCTCCAGTAGGGATTTGTCTGTCACCCGGTCCGCATGCGAGTATCCTACCCGGGAGTGTAAGGGACATCCGAGAGAGCGGAGGGCATACTCACCTTTCATCTTCGTAACGAACTCATCAATATACCGGAAGCAGAACGTGCAATGCCACCCCGAGTCCGCCAGCATGTGGTCCGCAACCTGGGAGTGCCCGTAGCCAAAGCCTCCTTCTTTGTTCCACAGGTGGACCTGCGCCCTCCAGCTTACCTTACCCGCCGGCCACTCGAACGAATACAAGTACTCCGACATCTGGAGATGCAGCGGAGACGGCGCAGAGCAGTGCTGCAGCAGCTTGATGGTATGGGCCGATGGTATCTCGTCCACATCGGAGTATATCACCAGCAGCGGACCATCAGGCTTCGCCTGCTCCCGCAACAACGCGTCCATATGCCTCCTCTGCTCGATCTCGTTCACAAATGGGCTCTCAAACGGGTCGAGCTGCCGCCCATGGAACGTCGAGTACACGATCTTCCCCTCGAACTGCGCGAACCTCTCACGGTCCTCCTGGAACGCGAGGCGCTTCGGCAGACCCGTGAACGTCAGGTCGCTCTCGACGACGAAAAACTTGGATACGACGGGGTCGAGTTCGTGCATGCGCACCTCGAGCAGGTCGAGCTCGGTGCTCACGAGGATCGCGTCCCACACCTCCGCTGGTCGTGCGCGGGTCTGCCATCCATGCAGCGCGCAGAGGTGCTCGTCAAACGCTATGCCTTCGGCGTAGTAGTGTGGAAGTATCTCACGAGGGCCGATGGGTGTGTCCCATAGCGGCCGTGTCGAGTATGAGAGGAAATTCCGCACGCGTAGACTGGATAAATGAGCTCCGTACGCGGTATACGTGTCACGGATATTTGTGCTCACTTATTTTTGAGTGAAAACCCAAGCAAAACGAGTAACAGGACTAGCAAAAGAATGAACAGAAAACGCTGGCGGATATGCATGACCAGAGCGGCTTAGGGGTTGTGGGTGGAATACCACTGGAGGAGGCATATAGAAACGTGCTGGTTCGGCGTTGGGACACCGGAAATGATGAGATGGCCGTCGGCATCTTGACGATTTCCCGGAAGTATTGTTACTATATATCACAGGCACTGCCACCGATCAAAGTTAGATACCACCTCTCGGTTGATAGCCGTCCAATCATCGTGTTATGTGCGCGGTTGGTATTCTTAGTGCGGACGTGCATGGTGCACGTTCACCATGAACGCTATTGCTGTCCGTAAATCCTGCATCAACATCTTATGAATTACCTCAGAGGGATGGCTCAATCAGAATTTTCATTTATAACAGATGTAACAGAGGCACGTTCGGTTCCAAATACCACGATATACAACAGCGTACAGTAGCACGAAACAGACGTTGATAATCCTACACTTCAGCCAGCATCACTCGTGCTCGTTGTCTTAGGCAGAAACAACTGTAGAAAGTAGGTCAGCAAGGTCAGCAGGAAACTGCATGAGATGCCTACCCCGCAGACTGTAGCCGGGTCCGTCGTCGTTGTCGTTGAAATTGGCCTGGCAGCGGACTTGTCCTCCAGCAGGGCAAGTGAAGCCGACGCTGTTCGTGCCGCCTTGCTTAGCATACTGAGTGGTGTCGTTCGGATCCTGCGTTGCGCATGAGGAAGAACTCCGGGATTTCGATAGAATATCATCACTCACATCGACTTCCATAGAGCCAATGTGGTTGACCTGACCGGGCTCGCAACCGGAGGCGTCCATAGCCTGGCAATTGCTGAGAGCAGTCCGTGAGCTCGCATACTCCACCAGAAGGCGCTCAACAAGGAGCACTTACTATCGCTGCCCGCTGTTGCATCCGACATTGATATACCTACAGGAACAGCGAAAGGTAATCAGGGATAGCACATAGTGACTTTGGAGGCAGATGTCCCCACCATTCGTAATGTCCATCACCCAAAGGGCCGCTTGAACCGCATCCAGAGCGGGCTTCAATGGACCGAACCTCATGGTGCGCGTCGGATGGAGCGGCTTTCACAGCGACCACCATAGCGACGAGGGTAGCGAGGATGTTGAGCTGCATGCTAGGTTGTTGAGAGGCTGTTGTAAGAGCTGCGGTGGAAGTGGGCTCTGATAGAGAAATTAGGAGAGCGCGCCCTGCTTTTATACCTTTGGGAGCTCTGAGTTAATATAAAGGCGTCTGAATGCCAACATATCAAGACCCGTACATGGCTTTGCTGCATGGTCTCGAGATTCGCTGCCCTAGGCCTCATGAGTTATGAACAGAGGCTGGACCACGAAGCATACCGCCCCGAGCCAGCGCCGACGAAGTAAGAAGGGCTATATTGCTATATACAGCTGTGGTCCCTGGGGTTTGCGAGTACATCGAGTTGACAATAGCGGGACTCGCTCATTCAAGAAATAACCGCCACCACGCGTAGCATATGCTCACATGTTCAATACTAGATGCAAAGACATTGGAATCTCCTAAAAGACAGTATCATGAGGTGAGAATGCCGGTAAAGCAATGTAACGGACGCGCCCGGCTTGATGCCACCACTGAAGAAGATGGGAGGGGATGGTGTCGCAGATCATCCACACGTGAGGTGATTACTCGCATCACAGGGGTTTAGGTATGGAAGACGTCAATATTATGCTAAAGTAGTACGAGGGGTGCCGCTCCCTGAGACAGTGTCCAGTTTATTTGGAGAGGCGAAGCACTCACGAAACAACAAGGCGAATAGCTACTAGTAGCCCGGCAAACGATACATCGCCTAGCCGTGGATGGTAGTATCCAATACCAAGAGCACAGTAGATGCACCCTCTGGAAAATGGCAATATATCATCATGAAACCTTCATACTCGTAAGTACTGAGGTCACCGCGGATAGCGCCGGCTTGTCATGTGCATCAGTCGAGGAGTCAGGCCTTCAGGACTCGGAGCGACGCCCCTTCCCCGAGCACAACGTCTGGAATAAAGGCGTCGCCATGTGTAGGTGAGCAAGGCTGATAATGGCCGCCAGTTGACTGTTGGACGTCGGGGTCGGGGCAGTTCTGCCGGTGCTCGGCTCTGCAAGCATCCAAACAGCTCTTCCGAAAGCCACTTCATGCTGCCAAAAATAGATACGTGATCTAATCAGCGGTGCAATGACCCATCCAATCACACCTCGGCTGCGCGATAGCTTTGATCGCTGTAGCCTGTAGTGTCCTCCGTGGAACGTCTATGGGGACGTCGAAATGGATGTAGACAAGTTCGAGGTGTATCTGTAGACCTGTGGACGCCGCGGGTGCTTCTCCAGCCACCATAACATCCAAATTGTCTCACTTATTTCACGTCAGGCATTATTATCCACAATGCGCATCAATTTCATACAAGTAATCGATTCCTGCACAGGTCTTAGCAATGCATTAAGCAACGAATCCGAAGACACAATGTACAATGTGCTACTACAGTGGCAAGGGAGCCCCCGAAAGAACTTGACCTAGGCAAACAATAATGAACTGAGGAGTCGGATTAATGCCCCACTGCTCCACTTCATCGGCCCCTTAGGCAGGCACAACTGGATGGCAAAATTTAGCATGCTCAGAACTAGGTAGCAGGCTAGATATCTCTTACTGCGGAGGCTGTAGCCAGGGCCGTCGGAGTTGTCCTCGAAGTTAGCCTGGCAGCGGACTTGTCCTCCAGCAGGGCAGGTAAAGACCAGGTTGTTGGTATGGCTCTGCTTCGCAAACTGTTGCGTATCATCGGGGTCCTGCACGTTCTGGCTGAGAAGGAGGATCCTCAAGTCAAATAAATCTTGGCTTACGTCGACCTCCAGGGAACCAATTTTGCCAGTCTGACCTGGCTCACAACCAGAGGCGTCCATCGCCTGGCATGCGCTATAATGACTCGATGAGCTCCCGTGCTAGTAGGCGGGTACAAGAATACTAGAGAAGGGTACGTACAACTGTTGGCCAGGGGTGCAAGAACCGGTGACGAACCTATCAAAATGCAAGTAGTCAGAAAATAGATCTTAGTTGATACACCGAAGAGATGACATACCATTCAAAGTGTCCTTCGCCGAAAGGACCGGTCGAGTCGCACCCCGAACGAGTTTCGACAGAGCGAGCATCGAACCGCGGGTTGTAGGGGGCGGCCTGCGCCCCCATAACGGCAGCAAAGAGAGTGACAAGGATGGTGAATTGCATGTTGAATTTATGTTGTTGAGGAAGTGCTTGAGTCCGGCTCAGGTAGAGAGCAGTAGATGTCAAGGCGCCCTTTTATACGCATGGTGGGCCCTGAGTACGGGCAGGAACCTTTGGAAATGGCCAGTGTCAAGTTGAAAGATGCATCAAGGACATAGTTATGATGGCCAACCCATCGCAGCGTGTAACGAGGAGTATCTGTGATCAGACGAACAAACCAGACAAAGATATTAATAACCTCATGGACGTCGCTGCTGGTGCACATTTGCATCGCCCACAGGAAAGACGGGCGAATCAATAGGGTACAAAGTACATCCATCATTTGTGTTGACTTACGGTTGGCTTACCTTACTTTGTTCAGGGAGGCGATGAAGGACATCCGAACATGGCTAGAACCCATGATCTCGTCTGATATAACACACCGGCAAGTTGAAGTGCAGAGCCGGCTTGTCACGATGGGATGGATTACCTGCTGAACTGCAATGGGTCAGAACAACTCATCACTCTCATCTGTTGAAGACCTCAAACGCGGGAAATCGCACCTCTGCCTACGTCTGTCAGCGATCTTTTGATTACTCTGACAGGCCGCAAGGTCGACTCTGAGTTACTGGCATCGATGCAGTCAGCCGTCAATCAGCTATGATGACGTCTCTTCATGAAGATTTAGGGCGATGAACTGGAATCGTCTTGGCGAGACCGACGGCAGGGTAACGACGAGCACCTCCGCTGTTGAGAGGACGCCATAACCTCCGTCACGTCGGACCCCGAGCACAAACCACATCAAGTCGGACTATGGTCCCGCCAACCTTGAGGGGAGGTAGTACCATGGTACTATACGACGCCCTGAGGTCATGAAAACCAGAGCAAACGGTCGAGCAACCACTTGACTGCGGTACTGCAATCACGCCGGATCGTCTAAGGGCCGAGCCTTTGCTGTCAGTGTCTACTGCTCATCAATAGTACCTGACTTGTTTGGTCTTGCGGGGGTTATTTCAGGCCAAGACATCGCCTTGAGCAGGTTCTACGGCCATTCATGATTCATCGTTCGCAAGAGTTCAGTATCATGATTCCTGCGCCGCGGCGATGGTCAGAGAATTTTCCCCTACCCGTGTGGGTACAGCTGTCCGGAGCGACATATCCCTACAAGACCAGAGCGAATGGTGTCGTGCAAGCATCCGCGGAGACATTGTCGATATCTGCGAACTTCGAAAGGCCCACGATCCGAGATCACGTACGTAATTAGTCCCCGGCTAAATATAGCCAGTTATTACGGCGGCTGCTCATCGTCGAAACCTCGAATGCAATCCAACTTGAATGTAGTATTGCAAAGGTTTACAATCGGACCATGTCATCAACCACTGTACAGCACGGGAACTATCACTGCAGCCGAACTTATATCAGTTACAACTTCCTCGATGCTACGGTGAGCCAACGGCGCGTTCATTCAGGCGGAAATAACTGGAACCACTACGGGTTAGCAATATAGACAGGACCCTCCATACGGAGGTGACGTACCACGGAGGCTGTAGTTGGGGCCATCGTTGTTGTCGTTGAAGTTGGCCTGGCAGCGGATCTGTCCACCGGAGGGGCAGGTGAAGGTGACACTGTTCGTGTTGCTCTGCTTAGCATACTGGGTGGTGTCGTTGGGGTCCTGGAATGGCACGTCAGATTGACTATCCGAGACAGTAACGAGAGTCCTCACATCGACCTCCATGGAGCCGATGTGCTTGGTCTGGCCGGGCAGGCAGCCGTCGGCGCCCATCGCCTGGCATTTGCTAGAAACCAGATGTGAGTTGCGTTTCCCCGTTATTTAGCTCGGTACACTTACTATTGCCCTCCACTGTTGCAGCCTACAGTAATCCACCTACAGAAGGCAGTGTCAAAACGAAACTCCAGAGATCATTGCCGCAGGAATGTCATACCAGATGTAGTGACCGTCACCGAGAGGGCCAGTAGAGCCACATCCGCTGCGAGCTTCGATGGCACGAGCAGCCAAAGGCGTATCGGCGGTCGGAACAGCGTTGACCGCGACTGCAGCGGCAGCAGCGAGAGTAGCGAGGATGGTGAACTGCATATCGGTGAGCTGAAGTCTTAGCTGGATGAGCTTGTTGATGAGATTGTTTGTGATAATGGCAAGGGATTGAATGACACGTTTTTATACCTAAAGCATCCCCCGAGGTAGTCGGTGAGTTTGATGCTCGGTGTACGCCTATGGACGTAGTGTCGATCACCGTTTCATACAAAGGCCCGAGCGAAGGTCTCAGCCTCGCGTCCCACTCGCAGAGAAGAACCATGCGCCTTTCAGGGAAGCACTTCATGCGTCGCTTCGAATGGGCGTCTAAAGTAATAACTGTATTGATCGAGCTTCTCAAAGTCAGCTGCTGGTGTAAAGTCGCAGGAAACCCACCTCCGATTTGTCGTGCAGAGGCCAGTAGGTCTTGCACGGGGAGCGTACAGGTCGGAAGTAGTGAGTTGATCGCGGCGTTCTTCCGCAGAAAGGAGTGTCCCGCGACGACGGTCGCAGTCGTAACGTTCATTAAACGTATTTCAATACGATATGTCGGCATAAACTACCAGCCCAATCAATGCCAGAGAAAGGAAAGAGAGCTAGAGCGACAAGGGCGGCCATTGACACTGATGCATACAAAAGTGCTCCATTCCACGTGAACAGAGCACGGTGACAGATATGAAGCACAGGTCGGTGGAGCGTTTCCCGGATGAGGCCTCTGGAATGTCAAAATGTTGAAACACCAACCCCAGCGGTCGAGGCATTCCTTAGAGAAGGAACGGTATGCTCAAGTAGCACAGCGGCCGACCACTCATGGAACGTAAGCACGTCACGGTGAGCTTGGGCTCGAAAGGAGAATATTGCATCCTGTAGTTGCCGCGGCCGAGGTCCACTCCCTTCCTAGCTGCAGTATATCATCATCAAAGCGCATTCAGTCATTGCGGGGGCAGAGCTGCATGTCTACAGTAACTAAGCCCCAGCTTCCCGTCTCTCCCTAGAGAGACGGTGCGCAGAGGCATGGCGCGGTAGCGGTGCAGGGGCGTTTAGACGCAGAGGATGAAGCGACAGTGAGGGTGCTCTGCCCTGATACTCCGAACAGCCACCCGCAAGATGTAGAGCTAGATCCGCGTCCTTGGTGCAACCGCAGTGAGGTCTGCGTATGAGGCAGGCAACCCTGTGCTGATATCGAGGAGGAAGTGAACAACTTTTGAAACGAAAAGGCCTGCATGACCGGTATGTCGCACTCGACACCCCTGCCGTGCACAGGAGCCCTCTTCCAAGTCATCAGATACAGCCTAGAGTAGGGTCTGGCACGGGCAGGCATTACCCGGGTACACCCACCGCCCGACCCGTACTTTACCCGTGCGGGTGTACCCGTACGGATCATGGGTACCCATCCGTTGTACCCGGGACGGGTACGGGCAGGACCAGTGCTAGGGTGGGTAGACCGTGGGTCACCCGTGGGCCGAGGACCTATTTACCTGTATTTACTTGTATTGGGAGTGCTGACTGTGTTGGCAACGGATGTCTCGTCCGTTCGCTCCACGTTCGCTACTGTACTATCAACGCTGTCGTCGTCATCATCTCCTTCGTCGCCCGTACCGCAATCTACGATCCATAGTTTCATTAGCCTTTCCGATGCGGTAGCCGCACATACAGACTCATCATGCCTCCATTGGCCCACAAGCTGGATGACATCTTGGTATATGTACCACTCCATTCAATCACTTACAGCATAATATGTCCTTGCAATCATTCAAGGCCCAGGTAGCAGTAGGCTCATGGATCAAGACCCCTCTGTTATCCGATGTGGAAGTTGTTGCTCAAGTGATTGAGGCAGGTAATAAGGCAGATGCGAAGGGAGGGGGAAGGGCAAAGCAAAAGCAAATGATAGTATATAATTCTTGCCCTATACACTATCAGCACAAGATAGAGGTACTTGACAATACACGTACCCGTGGGCACCCATGGGTACCCATGGGTACACCCACGGGTCTACCCATACCCATGTCACTGTGCCCGGGTCGGGTACGGGCACCGTCCTCGCCAGCACTTTGCCCGCGGGCACACCCACGGGTTAACCCGGGTATACCCATGCTAGACCCTAGCCTAGAGCAACCCTGAGCTGCAGTGCTAGTGCGCCTATGATATTGAGAGAACCCTCGAAAATGACGTTTCCATCCTATCATGTTAGTTCACAGCTGATACAGACGGAAATCTAAGCTTTCAACTTCCAAGAAGCGGGACTGAGCGTAGAGGTTGTGAAGCTGGAACCACGTCCGAGTCGGATGCGTCCAAGAGTCGTCCTGTGAACCCCCTGTGAACCGGCTCAAACGCGGTCCCGGACCGGTGGTGGAAGACGTTGAAAGTCCTCGCGTCCTTATATCCTCGTAACTCGGTTGAGAGCATCGACAAGTCCAACCACTACACCAGAAGTATACCATGATTCGAGTAGCCAGGCTCTGTAGTCACCTCCTCCGACAAGGACCTCGCCGCGGCAACTCCGTCGTACTGAAACGCGCTTCATCTAGCGGTTCAAATGTACATGTACGTCCCATGAATTGGTTTGGCTTCCAAGCTCGACTTGACCTTTTTCAACCATCGGGTGGGCTACGAACAATCATTAGTCGCTATATGCAGCGTTTAAGGACCCGAACTCTCCATACTACTTGGCGCCTGGAACAGTCGGTCCTGCATCGCCAGATGAGCCTGACCCGTCCGCGCATAGAGACATCCATATGTCCTCTGTGGTTGCAGAGCAGCACACTACCCCTTCTGTTGATTCGAACTCTGCGAGTATACAACACGCAACAGAATTGCTGCAAGGGCCGTGCACATATGATGTTGAGCGCCGAAAACTCCGGTCTTTGTCTCCGGAGCAGGCAAAGGACGCGTTGGTTGAGATGGGGTACCATCCTGGCTCGTTCTTGGAGCAGAAGATTGTGTGGGGAGATTTGGACTCCTTCCAGTGAGTAAGCTCTGTCCCTCTCGACTCTTCATGGAGGGCGGAGTGTCTACGTCAAGTCATCCACTACGCTTCCAATAGCGGAGACACATGTATATGTATCTTATGCTAATAATTCCCTGGTAAGGCACGTAAACAACGTTCGCTACCGTGAGTTTTCCACTCCTCTCCCCAACATTCAATAACCTTCTCCCTCCCTTCGACAACCAGTTCGATTCCTCGAATCAGTGAGTGCACGGTACACTCCATTCCCCTATCCCTCCCGCCATTTTCTTACATCCTACATCTCACAGTCCCGCATACTCTATATGGCTGCCCTCGGCCGGGCCCTAGGCGGACCCACGAAAGAGCAGCAAATGCTCAAAGGTAAAGGTACTTCCCTTATCATGAAGTCCATCGAGCTTTCCTTCCGGCGCCCAGTCACCTACCCCGACACTGTGCGTCTCCCCTCGCCTCCACTGCGTTTCGACTTTTAACGATTACTCTTGGTTACCTCCGTGGGATGTAGCTATTGGTCGCCCACCGGCCGGTGTCCCCACCCTCCCTCAATGGTTCTATCTTTCAGTTCCACGCGCTGGCATATAGCTATACACAGCAAAGGCTGGTGCTGACGTCTAATTGCGACTGCGTCTGGTATGATTATGACAAGCTCAGAAAGGCGGAGGTCGGGAAGGATGTGTGGAGCGTCGTGAAGAGCGGGATCAGCTCGCCATGAGAGCATCTGCGGTGGACATCGAGTGGTTGACGGTATACCGAGGAGCCTAGAACCTTGAACAATTCGTTCGGTATCTGATTAGGCAACATTAAGGCCTGCCCCGAGTACCCCTCCAGGCCACATCGTCGAGCAATCATGTGACAATTGAGGTAACTATCTGGAGTCTCATCGACGTATACGAAATTTCTAGTAGCTCAAGTGTGTCCGATGACAGCCTGAGGCACGTACGGCTCCTCCAAATACTTGATCTCTTCCTCCGTCAACTCGACGTGTACGGCACCTTATACATGGTCCCTGTCAGCTCATGGACGACACGTCCATGTCTTTGATGTGCATACCTATGATGTCTTCTAGATTCCTCAGGCTTGTCGTACCAACGATAGGCGCGGTCACACCTGGCGGAGAACAAGGTCAGACATGTCATCACAGGCTTCCCCACGGAGAGAACCGAATTGACTATGCATACCGTCTTTCGACAAGCTCCACGCGGTGGCCACCTGGGCCATACTTATACCCTTCTTCTTAGCTATTTCTTCGACGCTTGATAGTGTTTCCCAGTGAGTGTAAACAGTGAGATCCGAAATGCGAGAGCGTACCGTGATATTATCGTCGGGGTGCTAGAGAGCTTAGTATACCGCGCGACGGATCTGGACATCGTGCATGAAGTGAGTAACTATTCAAACCGTCCACGTGAGCAGGCACACTTATCAGTAGCGCCCCGCTTAGTCTCCTGGTACAGCGGCCTGGCGAGGAGACCACGCGCGAGCGGAGAGAATGGGATCGAACCCACTCCAAACATCTGAGAAAAGGCGTCGGTCCAAATGAACAGAATACCTGTCTTAAGTGGGGCTCGCCTTCAAAGTCGGCAAGAGCTCCCGCTCGTCTTCGCGGTAGAGCAGGCTGTGGTGGTTTTGCATCGAGATGAAGGGTGTCAGCTTGTGCGCGATGGCGTAGTCTGCGGATTGTCTCAGAAAACCTCCACAACTTCAGGACGTTGGACATACTCTGCATGGCGTGGACTGTTGTTGAGGGTTGTGAAGATTACATCAGGTCGGAACAGTGTTACTGAAGGGAACATACACTGATAGGCCCAGCAAGCGCTCATGCCTATGTATCGGACATATCCTGCCTGGACGACGTCGTGAAGCGCCTGCATCTGAGGGACGGGCGTTTATGGGCAACGTGGCATGAAATAGAGGAGGATACATAGGCGTACCGTTTCCTCGATGGGAGTGTTATAATCAAACCTATGACCTGAATATCAATGAGCCTATAAGTACAGGTGGATTGACGCAGTAGCTGTCTGACATTGCAGCAAGTCAATATAGTCCAGTTGAAGCCGTTCTAAGCTATGCTTGACAGAGTCGAAGATATGCTACAGGAAGGTATTATTTGGTCCGCCGCTTCTTGTCATAAAAGTGAGCTTACCTTTCGGCTTAGTCCATGCTGATTGACGAATCCTATGTCGTCCGGATTAGCAGCCCCCATGACGTTTCCCCCAGGTGTACGGCCGACAGGTCGGTAGACCTGGGTTCAAATATCATCAGTGTGCACTGAGAACTGTATAAATTCGAATAATATTCAAAATACCTTGGTCATGACGACTATCTCGTCCCTAGGAAGCTGGAGCCGCTTGATAGCTCTTCCCAGCATGACTTCGGACATGCCGTTGGAATACGTCTACGTCAGAATGAGGTGGTCATATTTATTCTATCGCATCCTCGACTCACATTCGCAGTGTCAAAGGCATTGATGCCAGCGTCATATCTAAGGAACCAATTTACAAGTTGGACGCTTGATTCGTCATAGTGCCAGTGATGCGTACGCTGCCTTCACGTGTTTGACGATCTCATCTTCCTCTCCTATTACCCAGTCTTGCCACTCAGAGCTACCGTATTGCATCGTGCCCAAGATAATCTTGGACACCTTCAGCCCCGACTTCCCGAGTCGAACTGAATAGTCAGTGCGTCAAGGGTAATCCTTGCTTTCCAGAGACCAAACTAACCATATGGCATCTTCGAATTCTTCACTGGAGTAGCAGCCATGATGTTCTGCGAGGCCGTGGGGTAGTTCATTGTTCAAACGGCGTTCGAGTTCTTATGGCTGCCTGTTCAGTCTGAGATTGCCTATCGCCGGAACTTCGGCATCTGCACCTTTCGAAGACAAGATAGTAGGTGCTATTAATATCGCACCCACCATTAAGCCTACGAATAGAATCACCAGTAGCAGGGAATGTGGCGTGTACTGTTTGAAACGAGGGCATAATGTTAAGAGAGCCGCAGCGGTAACGAGCGAAATCAAATTTGATGAAGGAACCAAGTGTCGGGCATGCCAAAAACACTCTAATGCCATCAACATTTCTCGGCTTGAATAACTGGCAATGGCAGACAGAGAATAAGACGATAACTACGGTCTTTGACCAGCTGTAGCTCGTTAACCAGGCAAGTGGAGGTCAGGATCTCAGCCACTCGTGCTGAAGCAGCTGCCTAGAGGTTGAGCGATCAGCAGGGTTAAGGCGTAGCATACACCGAATGAAGTCGGCACATATTAGTAGCTCTTCTTCGCTAAGGACGTTGTAGTTGGCCAGTGCCCTCGTGAGATCCGCCGCTCCTTCAACTCTGATCCTTAGGTTACCTATATTGGCATTAGTACAAGATAGAATCACTGGGAATATCTCTAGGGCCACACCATTGTCTTTGAAGTATTTATCATAGTGTTCGCCGCAACTGAAGACGTTCTTGTCGAACCTTTCGCCTACCATCGGAGCCATATGTGCAAGATGATAGTCTTCCGGCGTCCAAGTGGGTCCACCACGAGGGACAAACAACCAGCGACCCGTTAAGAGCTCGAACACCTACGGAAACTAGGGTGATAAAGGCTCTCGGATTAACTGGATGACGCTTACCAGGCATCCGAGATTCCATATATCGGCACTAGCGTCCCATTCACAGCCTATGATCACTTCTGGAGCCCTGAGGGCTACGGGTTGGATGATTTTTGCATGGAAGCCATCCTTTGTAGCAGCTAAGGTAGACGGTTATGATAGCGTGTTCCTTCGCAAAATTACGAGGACATACCAACTCCAAAATCTGTCAATTTAATATGTACATTGGACGGAGACAGGACATCCGCTGTCGGCAATGTCACGGGACGAGACAGAACAGGTGCTACAGGAAACTGCGACTCGTTTTCGATAGAAAGACGTTCCCGGGGAGGTTCAGTTGCCACCGCAGCCCTGAGGTCCGGAATTGTTAGGTGAATATTGTCGGGTTTGATATCTAATCGTCGTGGAGTCAGACGGAGTCGATTGGAATGGAACATGACATAGCCACTTACCAGTATGTATAACTTGACAATCATTATGCAGAAAGTCGAGTGCGAGGAGCAGCTGCTTGGTGATTTTCTTCACCACGCCTACCGGAAACCGGTGTTGTTCGAAAGTACGTTTCGAAGAATCGAGGGATTCTCCTAGCACCTCCGTAACAAGACAAAGATGGTCGCCGTGTGGGCTTGAAAGGCAAAAATCGTCCTTGAGCTCGACCACGTGTGAGTAGCCCTGATGCCGAGACGAGCTGCCAGCCGAGCGAACACGCTTCAATATATCTAGTTCGAAGGAGAGTCTGCCTTGGACAGAAGTCGCATGAGCAGTCAAAATCTTGACTGCCGCATAATTCGACCTGTTAGAGATACATTGTTATCGGACCTCCTACATGTATCCATTCTTTCTTACCTCGTGTCCTGGGCAAGCCAGACGTTTGAGTGCTGGCCCCAGCCCAGCTTTCTCAGGACCGTATAGCGGGAGTTGAGGTGTTCTCCGAGCGTAGCGGCATAATAGCCCCCGCAATCGCTCGTAGGGAGATCCAATGGCTCCTCTGGCCAGGGAAGAGGCGTACTCCCTCCTGTAGTGCTGCGGATGATGGGCACCATCAAGACGGACTTTAGAGCTCTACGAAGGCGAGACATGTTCAGGGTGTTCTAGTATGTTGCGAATCATTCCCTAGAGCAAGCCGTAAGTACCCGATATATCGGAACCGTCGTCGGAAGCTGTAACATATTGGTGGCACGAATTATGGCATGGAAGAAGCCACATGCACGCTGACTCATTGTGGGTCCACAGTCTACAGTCTCAGACACATCAGTACTTACTACATACTGTACGCGGCAGGAGTCTCAGCAGTTCGCGGAACGATGGGCCTACCCAGAAAAAAAGGAGGACTTCCACTGACAGAACTTGAGGCGTTGAAGGTCTCGAGATCTGGTTCGATCGCTAACCGCCGAGTCATCTCAGCTCCTGGTCGATGTTTGCGGCACCCTGTCGCACCAAAGATGACAAGCTTCTGCTATCCTACTTTTTCGCAGGAGGTTTATGGAGCAGTTTGCAGATCGGATCTGCAAACTGCTGCAAGATGGCGCACCGACTCGAACTTGAAGATCGACGTGCGTCTTCTGACTAGAGAAGAGGATTAAGTACAGCTGGCATCATGTCTCCGAGTCGTTTGTGACGACCAGCGCTCTCGGAAGCTGAGCAGAGCTGATCATACTATGTAGTAGCCTGGTTCCGTTCTAACGCAAAGTTTTTGAGCCGCGACCTCATTAGTAATTACCCCTACTATATGATCGTAAGACACCAGTGCTGTTAGTATGACTACAAAGGCGCCAAAGTGACCTTGAGCGGTCTACTCGGATTAGCACGGGCTTGCGCCGCGCTCAGCATCCCCGGGCCACTCGATTCTATTGATTCCATCCGAGTTCCGTATCGTGGTACTCTTCAGTGGAGCTTGAGGACCTTGGAACCTCGGGAGTGGATGGAGATGAGAAATGCAGCGGTGGCCCGATTTCTGTCTTCTGTTTTTCCCGTCTATATGACACTGCCCGAGTACAGGAGCCTCAGGGATGGGTAACGATCTGTTTAGAGGGACAGTCCCTGGTATGAAGTGAGCAATCTTGTCTCACTGAGGTCGACGTGGCATGAGAAGGTAGATATGTTTCGAGCGCGCGAACAGAACTATCACCTTCGCTGCATCTCTCCTTGCATGCACTATCCCGTTCCATTCACTGAAACAATACACCAAGTACAAGACAATATACCCTAGACCTGCCTTGCTGCTGTCCTGCAGATCGTACTAGTCTACAAACCCTCGGACCGCCACGCTCCGAGTCGTGTAAGCTGCTGTGCAACAACCATCTGTCAGACGGCCACCCCACTTAGTTTGAGTCGGCAAACAGCTCTTGTATCTTGTACCAGGCCAAATAGCTCGATCTGAGGGGGGGCCCTACGGGTTTGGAACGGAGCGGAGAAACTGTTTTCAAACGAGGAAACATCATCTTCAGAAAGCCTGCGACAGCCTCATGATCCGTGACCGAGGAGGCGTATCCGACAACTAAGGTTTCCACCTGCATGAATGGTTCGTCTGCCCAGGCGGATGACAGGACATCTTCTGCATCTTGATTCACATTCATACCGATGTAGGAAAGTTCTTTACAAGCACGGGCAAGCGCGACAAGGCCACCGAGGGTGGTGATGGAACTTCTGTCACCAGTGTTGACCATCGAGACATCGAGAAGTCGGAGTCTGGGTAGAGCACTTGCCAACTCATACAGGAAAACATCGTTGAAATCAATCCCCTCTGTGTATCCGGATAACACAAGTTCCTGGAGGTTCTTAAGTCTTAACAAGGGGTCGAAGAGGGAGGGAGAAAGGACAATATCCCCCCGATATATCCTGGAATCGCTTAGAGGTATGTCCTCAAAAACAAGGGAAAACACCGAGAGTGTCTCCGGCAGATCATAAGGTGGGAGTGAGAGGGTCTCATCCACCGATGAGTGGAAACAGAGGCGCTGAGTAATCAATAGGCTTTCGAGGGGAGCGTGGCGTATAAAACGGGAAAGCATGGGCCAGGAACCTTTGCCATGCAAGGCGACCTTCAAAACCCGCAGCGACGGAAAGCTACCAGGACAAACTTCTGTGAATTCAACCGGTTCATCGTCGAAATGATAAAACGGCGACAGCAGGCCAAGTTCCAATGATCGGAGATCCCGGAAACGTGCTAGATGCGGTAACACACTAGGGTGTAGAGGCTTGAACCAGGGCAACGCAAGATATTCCATATCGGCACGTTCCTCCAGAATGGCTGGCACGGGGAACTGCAACACTGAACGTATTTCTTCTGGGAAGTAGTCAACGTGTACTCGTTTCACTAGAGGTGCCACTTGCATCAAGGTACGTAGATGCATGGTTTCTTCAGGCAACCACTTGCGAGGCCGACGCAAATCAGTCCACCAATCGTACCACAAGTTGAAGGTAAGAGAGCGCAGCTGGCAGTGACGAGAAAGCAATGTTGCAAACTCGAAACCGAGCGCCGAAGGAGAGGCGCATAATGCTAACTCGAGGGTGCGTATCCTGGGAAAGAAGTCGGGGATTAAAGCGGGTGCCTCATCGAAGAACTTCTTAGCAGCGAGCAGAAGACCCTCAACTTCCTCCACCTTGTCGTGGATATGACCATCAGGACCAAGTTCACGGATAATGGCATGACTTGTCATTCTCAGTACCCTTATCCTCCTGGAATAATATCTGAAACGATCCATGTCTTTGGCAACTATATCCCTGTTCACGTTCTGACACAGCGAAGTAATGGGCAACAATTAACACCAGGTCCCTTAGTAGGGAAGATTTCGATAGCACTCACCCACTTGATGCACCTTGTGTACTCGCTTTGAGGATCCTTTCGCATATCAAATATGTTCGGTGGCAAGTAAGTCACCAGCAGCCTAACGTCCTGTGTCTCCCATAGAAAGTCCAAAGCAGGCTCCAGAAATGAGCGACACGTCAGTGCAATAGCAAGAATGGTAGAGTTGCGCCGGCGAGCTTCCTGGCCTGATGTTTGGTGAAGGTGGGGGACACTATTATACACCCAGGGATCCCCTGGCAGGAGAGGAGTGAGACGTTGCCAGTGTTGAGGATCTGTCTCAGTGAAAGTTCCCTCGTCGTAGAGAGAGGCGATGATAGCGCACAGAATTTCGGATATGGTGAGGCAACGATGCATGGTCGATGTGGTTATAGCGAGAGATGCGGTAGAAATGTGGCTCGGTTCGAGTTGACTTATATAGCCCGCGTGAGTGGGAAAAGAAGCACACGGCTCGCTTGTGGCTGGGATCTGTGGCAGATCGGGAATAATGTACGGCTCAATATAAGCCACGAGGAAGAGGTCTGGGATACGTATGCCATTACCTTGTTTCAGAAACGATTTGATGTGCGATTACTGTTAACAGACGACCGGACCAGAGGAAAGCTGCTATCCGGCCAAGCTCCCTGTCGACTTTCACCTTTGGTGATAGCCTTCCCCGGGTGAGCTACCAGATATTGCGGCCAACCAAATTCTGAAGCCAGATACGCACAGATCTCCCGTATCCTGTGGAACTGATACAAATGTGGATAATGCACGCCGAGAACTCACCTGATCATCAACGTGCGAACCCTGATCTTCCCTCGAATCGACCCTTCAGCACGAGTAAATATGGATTCTCACTCACCATTGTTGGCTTGCATGCGATGATGAGCTGAAGACGAGAATAACCATCCGAGCCGTTGCGCAGTGCCGTACTTAGGCATATAGCGGGTCGTCATAGCAGACGCAGCTATACTGATGCGTATGGTCTCTCTATGATTTCTACGGCTGACGTCGCAATCCTGGTGAGCAAAAATTAGTAAATCGATCTGTTAAGATCTTGTGAAACGTGTGCGGTCAGGGATCATTGTCATCGTTGAAGCTGCGTTGGTAGTACCTGTTTTGTCGGGCCTGAAGAGGGCCTCCCCAAGACGTCAGTACCTGGTACTCAGGGTAAGTTCTACATCATAAGAGTTTGAATGGTCCAGCGACAGGTCAAGGCGCAACCGGGGTAACGGAAACGACATGGTGTATCGGCACTTGCAACGGGCCTGTAGCCTGTCTGGTTGTGGAGTCGAGGAACAGGGTAAGTCATAGGGCGGTTGCCACCAGGTATAATTTAATGGGTGCTCCAGCTCAGAGTTCTTCACTCCTCGGAAGTAATGCTCAGTCAAAGGCCTTGAACATGATTCAAGAGTTACAATATCGGGACCGCAACATATAGCCTCCGAGTGATCCTTCTGAATGAGAACGGACACGAATAACTTGAAGCAAAGATGTCCTCCGAAGTCACACCCCAAGCGTCGTAGCGCTCAGGAAGACCCGTTATGCGCCTTGAGAATTAGAGGTGCACTGTTTCCCGGACATCCGATTGCATATGGGCACAAGGATCCGTTCGTAATCCGACGAGACGAGGACGAGCCCTACCAAGGCCGCTCGACTCGCAGCTGCTGCGAGATCCGTTTGGAGCGGGCATGCCAGCTGCAACGAGCGTACAACCGAGCAGCTAGCTATAGTACCCCGACTCGAGTCGTATGAGCAATATCGACTGCGGCATCCGATGAATGCCTCGACAGCAAGCGAAGACTGTAACACCGGAGAGCTTGAAGAACTAGGCATAGCTTCCGAGTCGACAGCGGCAGCGCCAAGGTTAAGGTCAGTAGCATCTCGTCTCTGCTTCCTGTCGTCGCGATCCGCGAGGATCCGCGCCGACAGCATCACAAGTATTCAGCTAAGAAACTTGCTCATCCTGCCCTTTCCCCGCTTCCGTCTCGTAAATTCGTCGGTGACTAGCGCTATAACTATCTGACTCTGATATGAAACTCAGACGCCGATACGGCAAGCCTTGTGCCGCTTACAGAGAGTCCCACCTCCATCATCCTATTCTTAGCTCGGACCAATGGAGAAATCCAGAGACTCAGATCTTTTACAGAAGACGTCGAAGGAGCTCCGATGGTTCCCCGTTATAAATGGCTTCGTATGACGTTGGAAGATTTCAAAGCTCCCCGGGCTAGCCACCCTTGCCTCGACGATATAGACTGGCTCCCTGGGTCTCGTTCAGTACTCTCGATTCACAGACTGCGCTCTCCGACTACCTTCTCATAGGCCAGCAGACGGTACAAAATGCAAAGCTATCTCGCCTACCGCCGCTTCGCGCACCATCCAGACATCCTCGCAGCTCGTGACCGCGAACGCCGCCTCAAATCCAACTCTATTCCCCCCACTCCTCCTTCGCCCTCTCACTCAACCACAGACTCCTCACGGATCTCAGCAGGACCGACGCGTGTCCCCTCTCGTGACTCAGAAATTGCCGATCCAGACGAAGACCTCGAGAGGCAGAGCATCCCAGGTGCGGCCAGGGAACCGCTAGAGACGCCCCAGCAGGAGCAGGAGGACCCGTATCTCGTTGCTTGGACTCATGGAGACCCAGAGGTGGGTGAATCTAGCCCGTATGCTTGAGTCGGTCACTTACGACGGACTCTCAGAACCCACACAAGTACGTCCGGTCTGATTCTCAGTAGCGCAGCGTGCCCATCGGTGCCCATATAGCTGGTCAGACACTCGCCGGTGGCTCGTAACCTTCCTCGTCGGTCAAATCGCGCTCCTTGGCGGAGCTGCGGCGTCCATCGACCAAGCCGCCGCAACAGGGGCAGCCGAAGCCTTGAGAGTGTCGGTGGAGGTGCTCTCGCTCGAAACGGCGCTGTTCCTAGTGGGATTCGGGATTGCCAGTCCGTTCTTCGCCCCGCTGAGCGAGATTGGTGGGCGGAATCCGGTGTATATCGTGAGTAGCGCCTCAGCTATACACAACCCACATTTGAGGTTTCATTGGTATTACGTCCTCAAGGTCACACTCTTGATCTTCGTCCTCTTCGAAGGCGGCATCGCCCTCAGCAGTGACATCCAAACCCGTGTCATACTTCGCTTTTTCTCCGGTATCGCGGGTTCCCCTGTGCTTTCCAATGCCGTGCGTCTCTACCATACCTCCTCCTGTTTCGATCTCACTTACCTTTGCAGGGAGGGACGCTCTCGGACATGTGGAACCCCCTTGAACGCACCTTCGCTTTTCCATGTACGCCTGCTCTTCTCGTCCCCTTTCCCCCCTCCTTCGTTCCATTCAGAACTACATCTGACGGTGCGCGCCTCTAGTCTTCGCATGCTGCGGCTTCCTCGGCCCCGCTGTGGGCCCGGTCATCGGTGGTTTTATCGGCCAGTCCGCGCTTGGGTACAAGTACGCGTAGTTTCTATTTTACGCTGACCCACCACACCATATTCCCAGCCCAGCCCAGGTCGATCAAATACCCATTTGTACGATCCGATGCTGATCTTTTGTGATTTTGCAGGTGGTGCGACTGGATAACCGCGATATGGGGGCTAGGGCTGCTGGTGGCGATGGTTCTGTGGTTGCCGGAGACGTACTCACCTGCATTACTGAAGGTTACCTTCATTCCTATTTACCCGTGTCCTCCCTCCCTGATAAGGATGATCATACGTTCAGATGAAAGCCGCTCAAATGCGGGCTGCGACCTCTAACCCCCTCTACCTCTCCCCCACCGAGCGGCACCGCCAGCACGTGTCCTTCTCTACCGATTTCTGGGCGACGATGGCGCGTCCGTTCATCCTACCTGTCTTGGAACCGATCGTCTTGTTCTTCTCGTTGTACATGACGGTCGTTTACTGCGTGTTGTTTGGAAACTTCGAAGCGTACCCGTTGATCTTCGATCAGTAAGTAACCTACCCTGTTGTCGATTGGGTAGGTCTTCCATATGTTGACTGTGTGAATGGTACGACAGGTATGGCCTGAACGCGGGCCAGCTCGGCCTTACCTTCATACCCATCTCCGTCGGGCTTATCATCATACTGGCCTTCACACCCTGGACGTACCGGCAGTATAAGCGTCAATGGGACTCTGCACTCAGCACTTTCGAGGCAGAGAAAGCCAAAGCGGAAAAGAATGGTGATATCGGGGGAGTGAGAGAGGGGACGAAGGTCAAGTTCCACGCGCCCCCGCCGGAGACGAGGCTACATTTGGCGATGTGGGGGACGTGGTTGTTTCCTATTAGCCTGTTCTGGTTGTGAGTCTCGGAATCTTTTTCGTACCTTTCGCCCCCTTCCTGTCTCTTTGAAATTCTTCTGCTTTGGGTCGAAACGCTGATACACGGTTGAACTCGCGGCAGTGCGTGGACATGCTATAAGGACATAGGACCCTGGCCTGCCATTGTGAGCGGAGCGACCTTCGGTGCCGGTATTCTGTGCTGCTTCATCTCGAGTTATCAGTATATCATTGGTGCGTCCCGCTTCCCCCGGTATCCAGCGTTCGAATGACTGACGTGGGGATTATGCGTGATGTAGATGCATACGAATCATATGCGGCCTCTGCGCTGAGCTCGCTTACCCTTATACGGTACGTCGCGTCGGGCGGGGCAGTATTGTGGACGTCGCCTATGTTCAAGAAACTCGGTGCGTCTCTTTCCATGCTTCTTCTCCTACGCCCTTCTCCCCGTAAGTACTGATGACTATATGCGCGGTTAGGCAATCACTGGGCACTGAGCCTCCTCGGCTTCCTCTCGATACTCTTCTCCTTGGTTCCGTGGGGCTTCTACATCTGGGGACCGAAGATACGAAGCTGGAGTCGGTATGCGAAACATGAGAAGGTGAACTAGATGTTATGAGGAAGGGTAAGGGGCGGCCATGGGAAGGTGGGAGACTGCAACAGTTATAGACGATAGAACCGAGACCGATCGTAATTGATGACACTCAACGGTAGCCTTTCTACGAAGCGTTGGTGTAAAGGATGCACTCTAGTTTGCTGCCTGAAGCTCGCCGCATCGCTCCATTTCGTTTCTGGCCGATGGGTCTAAGTCCGCTGCAAGACCAAGTCGTTGAGACGACTGAAGATATGGCCGTTGAACTCGACGTGGTAGGAGGGGAGAAAGTTACTCTCTGGGCATTACTTCGCGTCATGCTATCTTATAAGACCTCAACTGTGAAAGATGAGGAGCAACCGGACGTATGTCGAGCGTGAAGAGCTCTCGTTGTCCGCAAGCAGTAGCATCGCTTCCATAAATGGCAAGCGGCCTTCCCATTGATCTGGAAGGAAGAGAGGAACGTCCCGGCTGCCTCCCAGCCAATCGCAATCACTACAGTTCAATGAGTCTGTGGCCATTCACAAATTCTTGTATACCTCAAGTATTATCGCCAGCCTACTTGCCGCTGGACCTTCGATTGGCCTTCATCAATGCCCCAGTGCTTCCTGCCTTGAACGCAACCGATGGCATGGGCATGGTGAAATTATCTGACGAAGCCCTTAAGCAGGGAAAAGCCATGAATAATCCTGTGGGGGCGTAAAAGAGGCATGTATCCGGGTTCGCAACCCATAGACATTTGATAAGCACCGTACTTCCAAGGCACACTGTCGGATTTCCGTAGGTTATGAACCGGCATGCCCTGACGGGATTCCCTCCTAGTCGTCTAAAGCTGTTTAACTCTTACAACCTCTTCGGTTACAGACATGCTGATTTGCGCATCTGTTTGCGTACTAGTTCGATATCAAGCAATACAATTCCATCGGACCAATGTTAACGGTGCGTGCAAATTAAATTTACATGGCTGTTGCCTTGCAGGCAACTGGAATGTGCAGACTAGGATCCGCTCCACACTCCACGCTTACAGTGGAAGCGCTAAGAGATCCATCCACACCACCTGAGTTCCATCTTTAGGGGTCGAACCTTGCCGCTGAGCAGATCCAACGGAACGTTGTCGTCTTCACCTCAAGTATGATTGGCGTCTCCCAGTGACATCCGTAGTGTTAGTGTGGTCGCTGTGGTGCCAGAAATACTCTGCGCAGGCTCCGCCGGAGTCAAATCCAGGACTGTCGTTGATCATCAAGGAGCGTTCCCCGCTCTGTACGTCAGTAAGGCAAGTCTCCTCACTTGAAGCCGAGAATACGCATGGCATCGCACCAGTTCGTTCGCCCGTCTACGCATCAAGGTTGGGCTAGGCGATTTTCATTTTTTAGCCGTTCCATGGTGATTGAAGATTTTGAATCGGATGCCCCTTGGCCACAACGCTGATCAACACTTCATGTTAGACGACTCTACTAAGACACTCACCATCAAATCGGGACGCACGATTCGACTATGCATCAATCCGCCGGTCTTCCCCCTTTCATGACCAGGAACGATCATCCGCGCCAATGTCTAGCTGGCGAAATGCTGACGGGTGGCGTGTACGCGGTGCCACTGTCAACATCCGGTGGATAGGAAAATGTCGATGCGGAGCACTGCAACCACAGCACTGCGCGATATCTTCGCCCATATCAGTTAGTTTCTTCCGACATCTGTCCAGTTTTCACCGGTGGTGCAAACCCCGATTGTGAGCTTATCTGAATTGAACACACGCACGCCCGTCCTCGCTAGCGTTATCTGTCAGCGTGCCTGAGAAGAACGAAACGCCACGTCCCCGCTCAGCGAACGCACTGGCGATCGTCCGATGACCTCCTCATTGACATGCTCCAGCAGGGAGTCTAGTGAGTATCTGATCAGCGTTTGCGTAGCATCCGCTGCCAAAATTTTCTCGAGTGTAGAGCATTATTCCGTACAAGTACTAGTACACGGTCGCACCTCCATTTCGTTTTCTATCTTCCGATAGTATTATTACTATGTACCTACCGAAACAACGTCGCTACATAAGGTATCTAGAATATGTTCGTTAAGGCATTACAACGACAACAATTCATCGCGCACAGCAGCACAATACAGCGCGACTAGAACAAGATCGCAGCGATCTTGCCTCCGATTGTCGTCGGTGGCTCGATCGGTTCTTCCGTTTCCTCTACGGTAGGTATACCCTGGAGGTGAGAGCAGCTTGCAGTGAGCAGGGAAAAGATCGGAGGAAGGAGAAAACGCTTACAGTAGTAAAGTCCATCTGATGCGGTTTCCACGTCTTTGTGCGCCTGTAGACCTTCCAGAATATCCAGAGGCCGAAGAAAAGCGGGATGTTGATATCTGGGGAAAGTCGTCACGATGAGTATACCAAGTAGAGACAGGACAGCGGGGCAGGCACTCACAAGAGGTCAGGAAACCGCTCGCGTTGAAATCCCAGAACACCTCAAACCCGTTAATCAAAATGAACAACGTCGTCCAGAAGATACCCCAGATGCTCAACCACGGCTGCAGGGTGCTGAAGTAGATGAGCTGCTTCCTATCGCGTCCCTGGGCCTTCAACCCACGGTAGAAGTAGAGGTACGTGATGTTGATGCCCCACCAGCCGAAGAACCCGCCGACGGTACTCAGCGAGACGAACCAGTTGAAGACGGTGGCGGCACCGCTGCTAACGTTCATGAAGGCGAGGAGCGCGAACGCGCTGCATGTGAGCACCGAAACGATCGGCAACCCGGATTGTGTGCACTTGGCGAAGAACTTGGGCGCCTGGCCTCGGAGAGCCAAGCCGTACAGGATACGCGACGAGCAGAACAAGAAGGAGTTGCCCGCGGAGAAGGCGGAGGTGAAGATCGCTGCGTTGATGATGTGCGGCAGCGTGTGGATCCCTGCGCGCGTCATGGCGATGACGTACGGGGACTGGGCGGCATTGTTGGCCGCAGACAGGAGCAGCGGGTCGTCGTAGGGGACGAGCATGCCCGTGATGAGGATCCCGAGCAGGTAGAACACGACGATGCGGTAGAAGACCCGCCGCACCGCCTTCGCGATGTTTGTCCGCGGGCTGCGGGTCTCCGAGGCGGCGATCGCGACGAGCTCCATACCCTGGAAGGAGAAGGCGGCCTGGACGATGACGGAGATGAAGCCAAGGAACTTGTCGGTGTTGATGTTGCTGACAAGTCCCGCGGGGGCAAACGCGCCCGGGTTGCGCCAGTAGCGGAAGCCGACGCGCTCGTGGTCCGGTCCTCCGCCCAAGTCAATGATCAGGCCGACCAAAATCAGGCCGAGAATCAGGCAGACTGCGAAGCGAGTTAGTGACTATATTTCTTACAATTATCGACAATGCACGCACTCTTGATTATGGAGAAGAAGAACTCTGCTTCACCGAACCAGCGCACACCGAAGATATTGATGGCGCAGACGATGATCACGACGACAAGCGTGTAGATCCATTGATGTGACAGCTGTAGTGAAGCGTCAGTCTACGGATCCGCACTATGAAATCTGCGCACGTACGTTGGCATCCCAGAATGTGATGAGGATCGTCGCAGCGGTGATCTCGACAGGGACGGACATCAAGTTTGTGTAGAAATAATTCCAGCCGACGGCGAACCCGAACGCGGGGTCGACCCACCGCGCGGCAAAGTGGGGGAAGGTACCAGAGATCGGCGCGAGACTGGTCATCTCGCCGACCGCACAGAGTGACGAGTACGCGACGGTGCCGACGAGCGCGTAGCCGATGAGCGCACCCGCCGGCCCCGCCTCGTTCAAAGCCTTACCAGACCCAAGGAAGAGACCAGTACCGAGCGTACCGGCGATGGCAATCATCTGGACATGGCGCTGGTGGAGGCGACGCTGGACACGGTCGAGGTCGTGGGCGTCAAAGCGGTACTGCTCGCGGGCTTCGAGGACCTGCACATCGTCGGTGGACGAGCTATGGTCGAGCGGGGTCTTCTCGACGCTGCCGCTGCTCCTCTTTTCGAGGTCGTAATTGTGCTCCATGGTCGGGGGGAGCTCGAGGTCCGGAAACAAGGGAGGGGCGGGGGCTCACGAAGAGCTGACAGATGCGACGGCGGCAAATGCAACTGAAGGAGAGGGGAAAAGAAGGCCAAGGGAGGATATTTAAAGGCGAGAAGCGCGCTCCGGACAGAGGCGTCCAGGGACCGACCATGTGAAGCCTTTTTCGCTTGACGTCGTGTGGCTCCGTGCGCCCCATCAAACCAGCAGAGATAACGCACCGCCGCTGATAAGCCTCCTCTGCTCGCAGCTCCTGGACTTTCTCGCTTCCGATACCGCTGGACACGGTCGACTCTAGTCGTCTCCCTCCCATTGCCTCCATACGGTCTCTGCGCTCTCTTCAGCGGCCCGCAAATTTTTTTTCGTGTGGGGCGACAATACTGTATAGGCCCGGAGAGTGCCAGATAACGGGGGCGCTATACTGGTTCGGGTCCAATACCACAGTCGACGACACGTGGCTCGCACCCTCTTCAGGCACTCTCTCGCCGCTTCTCGACAATGGAATCTCAGATCCTGGCGGCTTACGTCCTGACGGTTTTGTGATTGGGTTGTGCAGTCGTGTGAGCAGCGCTGGCTTGCCCCCGTCGTGGCCAGCCACTGAGCCAGTCTCGCCTAGCACTGTCTCGCCTACGGTTGACCATCTGGGCCAGGTCAAATTCAAAAGTCGCCTCACAACTTGGAGGCTGCCTTGGGTTCGATCCTCGGCGTTGACAGCTTTCGGCCAATCCCGAAACAGTCTCTGAAGGGGGTTGAATACATCTATCAATATTATGTACGTAGCGCGGCACTGAATTTTCAGCCGTTTGCAGATCGTTAGGCCATCACTTCAGAAAGTCACATATAGTCGGAGTGTGTCGGACATGGTGCCAGGGACGTCCCAGGAATTAAAAGAAGTCCAAATGGTCTGATATTGGGGCCTCGGGGACTTGAATTCCCCTCTCCGACATGGTTCGACTGTAAATGATTTTCAAGAAATGGGCCCATCGAACTGCAAACGGCTGTTACAGTCAGTAGTGACTGTTCGATAATCAATAAGGTTCGGGACCACTACTCCGAGAGGATGCGAATCCCCAGCCCACATATTTCGGGGAGCGACGGGCGGAAAGACTTATCAGTGCCGTTTAGTGCACATTAGTACTAACCGTATATACGTATCCTTTAATGCTTCACAACCGTTTACACCTCGCGCTGCACAGTCCACCTGCCGATACTGATATATGATATCCCGCAAGTGGCTGTGGCTACTTAATGTAGCTCCCCGCCTGTGTTCTTCTCTTGGAGGTCACTAGCCCTAGCACGGGTACTCCAGTATCTCTTTATAGAACGCCCCCAATATTATACTACAAAAGCCCAGTGCGCGACATACCCATACACAAGACTGCAGCTGACCGTTTGTTTGGTGGAGCGGAGCTTCAAATATCGGCAACTCCCGTCGTATGTTCTCAGCAACAAATCTCTTACGACAAGCATAGGCTCATATCGTGTAGAGATTTTGCGTCACACTTCTTCAGGAGCGTCCGGATGAAGTCTTTTCAAGACGTAGTACATTTTTACTGTAGCCCCCTCAGTATCCCTCGTCCGCTGAGTGGATTGCGACAATTCAAACTCCGCCCAATATCCCCATCCACCCCACCGGGGATCGAACACAGCAGTCGCAATGTGAGTCAGTGACTTTTAAATTTGACCTGACCCAGATGGTCAACCGTACTCGCCGGAGTGCTACTCAGCTACTCCCCAGAGTTCCGTCCGAGCCGCGTTCGTGCAAAGCCGCAGACCGCCGCGAAAATCTTGGCCCGAGGACAGCACCGTATTCTCCCGGGGACACAACTTGCCGGCCCGCCTTTCAGACAGAATCCCGGACAGTGCGGCGGGCACTACAAAACTTATCGTCGACTGGACTTCGTGCCTTGAATGTTGGGCAACGTAAGTACAATGCAGGGAGGTCTTCCAAAGTGCTCTTGAAGGTCAATGTGTTATAATTCCACACCCATCTTGTGACATAACTTAGCATCATGCGAGCCAGTTGCACGTAGGTCTGACTAAGTGCTAGTGGCTGCAGTAAATATTGCCACCTAACACTGGATAGAGACCTGAATGGTCTACCGAAAGTGACATTCGTACTTGTACTTATTACACAAGCTTTGTTCCACAACTTCCTCAGCGGGGCGGGATGTGGCGTCGACCGGGACAGGAAGAAACAAAGGCAAATAGATGCGAAATTCTCCAATTTCAGATATCGTGCTAGTCGCGAAGTAATGCTGAGGCTATTCGCCCGAGCTATGGTGCAGTCCACTTAGTCACCGCTTCTGGTGAACAAGATTCGTGGGAAATACGGACAAAATCACAAAAATATTCCCTCTTGCCAAAGTGATTCTTTTACGAAAAGGAGTCGATTGCCAAGAGGGTTTTCCGAAATACCTAATATTGAGTGAGTTATGAGATCCTTGCTCAATTTGGCAGTGGGCTGTCAAAAGGAGCAGTTCTGCCTCGGAAATCGTGAGAAAACACTGCAAATGCACAGAAATTGCATTTCCCCAGATATTGAGGAAACTTTCATCGAATTTCTATTATATTTTCTGCTGTACCCAACTACAAGAAAACGAGGCTAAACGTGCTTCAGTGCAACCAGCTTTGAATAGGGAAACCTCGCGAAGGCATTCCTGCACTGGATAACCTGTTAACAGACCCCAAATCCGACATTTTCGTATCATACTATAAAGATTTCGGCCTCCGGCCGGTTTGGCAGTAGTTCATCGCAAGCGGTGTCTAAGTGGGCACCATATACCAATCTAATTCTGCGCCATGTCATTGAACCTCACGCTCCGAAGTTTGCCTGCTATCAGCTCTGGTCATCGCCAGCCACACCTTAAGTGGCAGAATTCACATGGAATCCAGGTGTTGTCTCGGTGATATCATGAGCTCGGTGGCGACAGACGTCGAGACGATTATACACTAATAGACACTAACATAGACCATCACAGTTTTTCCTCGTGATCCAATGTCTCTCTCTCCAGTCTCTCTCCACGACCGAGAGCGTGCAGGATGATAGTCATTCAATCTACACAACCTGCACTCCGAAGTTGAAGATCGCCCGCGTGATTCGCTCTGAATTTTTCTCGCAAGTTATACTGAAAGGTATCACGCGAGGTCCCATCTGGTCCCATGGCCACCAGGTCCCGTCGATCATCTGATCTGGCAGGGATTCCTTCCACGCTTTAATATTTGCTCTGGGCGGACATAGTTACTACTAAGGTAGCCGATACCCCCACAAGAGATTTCTTCCATTTATTCGGTCAGACTCAGGATTGGGCTCGTCGGACATACAGTATGGATTGAAACATGCATATATGGGAAGATCTAGAAGGAAACGCGGACACCGCCACAGCACGCAACCGCCATCACCGAATGATTTCGGATATCAGGCCAACTTGTTGTTCAACGAGTCGCTGAGCCCAGGGGGACTGCTTATACGCTGTCTTTCTCTGGTTTCCTCTCCGGACTGGTTCTTGTTAAGTTTTCTCTTACCACTTAGACTGGGACTGGTTCCTTCTATCGCTGCGCGATATTCATTCGTTTCGAGTCACTCTTTTCGTAAACAGAAGATTCAAGTACAGTATGACGATGAGCAGACACGCGATGATGCCCTTGGCGCTCCTGGCTTGCTTGCTGCCACTCTCGCTAGCAGCTCCAGCCCCAATTCTAACGCCTTCTGCTTACCGTCGGGACAATTCAGCCCAAACTGCAGCCGTCTCCGATGCCACTATTGAAACGGACTTCGTGAGACCTGCTCAGTTCAGTCGGATAGCGTACTGCTCCAGCCAAGCGGTGACCAGCTGGCAGTGTGGCGCCCCGTGTGCTGCTGTCGGTCCCAATGTCAAGGTTCTCCAGGCCGGGGGAGGTGCGTGTTTTGATTGTTCTGCATACAGTTCATAGTCAATAGACGAATCATTCTCTTCCAGACGACGGCCTGATTCCAATGTGTGAGTACAGTAATCATCACTTGCTCCTGAAATGGTCAATAGCTTCGCTCCAGATTTCATTGCTCACGACCAAGACACCGATAGCATTCTATTGGCTCACCAAGGAACGGATGCACAGAACATGTACGCTAATTCCATCATCCTGTGCCAGTATCACTTATACGTGTACAGTCTGTCCATTTCTAATGATGTGCAATTCCTGCAAGTCGGCCTTAACACCACTCTGTTCCCTCAAGCCGGCGGTACGTGCCATCGTACTCACTAACGAAGTGGCAAGTCTCACAAAACACTCTGTGACTTCGCTAGACGGTATAAAGGTGCATGACGGGTTCCAAAAGACGTTCGAGCGCACCGCGGACGGTGTTCTTGCCGGGGTTCAGAGTGCTTTGAACTCCACGGGAGTCAAAAAGGTAGCCATCACAGGGCACAGTCTTGGTGCAGCGATAGCTACTATGGACGCCGTCATGCTCAAGATGAACCTCGATCCATCCATATCGCTCTCGACAGTCGTCTTTGGTCTACCCAGGGGAGGCAATCAAGAATGGGCTAACCTCGTCGACAAGACAGTGCGTGCACGATATTGTGGGCTACGATGAGCGGAATTGATCCTGATCCCCTGCAGCTGGGCACGGACTTCACGCACATCACAAATCAGAACGACCCCGTGCCTACGGTGCCTCCCCAGTTCCTGGGGTATGTGCACCCGCAGGGCGAAGTACACATCGCCAAAGCGAACGCGACCGGTGCAACGGAGACGGTCGCATGTCCTGGGACCGAGAACGAGGTGAGTTCATTGTACAGTATGCTACTCTATTCTGTCTCACTTCCTGGCGACTGTCAGAATTGCTCCGAGGGTAACTCTCTATTCCACGTCAGCGTGGCGAACCACATTGGTATGCATGAATTGACCACTTAATATCTTTTTCGTATTGAATGCGGATCCCAGGTCCATATTTTCAGAATATCTCGATGAGCGGGAAGAACTGTCCGTTCTAAGCTCTTTCGATTTTCTCGTGATTTTCTCCTTGTTTTGGGGCATTGGTTTGGCAACGGACACGTACAGGATCTTCTCGTCTAGGGTCATTTTTATTCGCATATTTAAATGGGTGTCAGGTAACTCCTCGATGGACAACTTGTCTCAACGTATATCATATGGAAGTCCCAGTTGTTGGGTGATGCATGCAGAAGACATCAGGATTGTTGTGAAGTATACGGCGTTCGGGCTTCAAGGTGAGTTGCGAGGGATGTCCGTGCTCTGGCGTACAAGATGCGGGTATCTACCTCTAGGGTTGTCAGAGTATATCCCATGATATTCGGCGAACGGAGTTATTGCACTGGCGACTTTGGAAGGCCCGATATGCAGTGCTAAGACTCAATTGAGGAGTCGGACAGCCTCACGTTTCCAATTGTGGCTATGTTTCGCCGAAATGCTACTTAGAGTTGTTCGCACCTCCATCTCCCAGCAAGGACTCCCCTACATCTATACCCCATTACTGTCGCTGGCCGGTTTATCAAAGCCGTATTTCTGGAATGGGTCTCTTCAGCTCAAACGACAATGAACCGGTGAGACCGATGTCAGGGTAATGCTATTTCATTGTTGCACCTTACGTCGGTCTGACCGCTTTGAAAGCATCGGACGGCCGTTAGGAGTGATCGAACACTTTACACGACATCAGTCCGAGTTCACGCTGAAGCTGCGCGAAAAGAAATTATCCATCACAGGTGACGACTATGAGATCACGACTCCAGACGGACGAGTATTCTTCGTCATGAAAGGCAAAGTGTTCTCGCTGAGGTCCCGGAAACTCCTCTGCGATGCGCAGGGACACCCTATTGTTAATATCCAGGACAAGATCTTTACGTTTTTCAAGCAATTCCGGGTAAGATTAGCGGTCCATCTCTGAGTCTCGAGCGACATGAACTCACGCAATGAACCCAGATATTCCCTGGGGAAAGAGAGGAGCCCGAGATCTGTCATGTCAAGCAGCATTTCAAGATGATAGGAGAGAAACTCACCGTCCATTTTACCAACTTCGACGGCCAGGAAGTCGAGCTGCTGGTCAAGGGATCGTTCATTGACAAACACGCCGAGATCTACCTCGGAGACATCCCAGTGGCTCGGATCAACAGGAAATTCATGAACGTCGGCCAAATATTATTCGATCAGCAGACGTATTATTTGACAGTAGCTCCCGGAGGTGAATGTTTCTCTCTCATGCTAAGCGTACCGTGCTCAAGAGTGGATCGGTCCAGTGGACATAGCGATGATGACCGCTGTATGCGTCTGCTTGGACGAAGTCGCGAATGACAAAGATTGATACGCTTGGGATATCGTGATTCGCCGGCTACGACAGAATGATACACTTTCAGCACTATACATAGATTCTTCGAGGGCAGCTACTTCCCGCGTCATGGCACAACTTACACATTACTCACATACAAGCGACGGAGCATTCATCATGACGTTAGTTACTGCAAGCATGTGCATTAAGAAATGCCGAGAGCATTCGGAAGCGTTTCTTCGCAAGGTCCGACGAATAGGAAATCCGCATTTCTATCGCTTTCAGTGGGTTCCAAAGTGAAGATGGCGACTTTGCCACCCCTGTCTTTGACTGTCTTCGCAAAGCCTGCGGCCGGATACACCTTTTCAAGCCATGTCAGCCGTAGTTTGACCTCTGCATTTGAATATCAAGGTTACCAGCGATGAAGTGCCGACTACAATCAAGAGTTCTGTCCAGTTAAGCTCTCTCGCTATCTCTCCCAGACCGTCTGGCACTTCTCCAAACCATACCACGGCGGGTCGGAGTAGTCCCCCGCATCGACCGTACCTGTTTGATCCCTTCCAATTTGGCCCGCCGCACCGTGGCAGCTGGTCAACAGGAATATCAAGTTCGCCCGCGTTTTCCCTTGTAACATTTGCAAGGGCCGGACTGAGAGGTCTATCATAGGTAAAGTTGACGTGCTTGCACTGTAGACAGATGGTCTTGAACGCCGAACCGTGCATCTCTATAAGTCGCTCTCGAGCAATATTCATTTCGGCTGGACTAAGCGTGTCGGATAGGTCTTCAAGAGCCCGCAAAGACAGACCATCGAAATTTTGTGTAACGAAGAGAGGAGGTTTCTCTGACTTTAGAGAGGGAAGCAGACGACCACGGACTGAAGGCACTGCAAGAGCCGCGATGGCGCGATGAGCGGCATTGGGTTGAGCTTGTAGACACCTAAGTTGTATATCCAGAGTCTCGCATCGACTGGATCATTTTTCAACAAATAGACCCACATATCTCGTCTCCAATGATACCACTGCCATACTTTGCTTGGATTTTCTTTAAATCCTTCCGGTGTGGCGACTTTCTGTTCATCCTATGTCGATATCGAGTCACGAGGAGATCGATATTTAGGGAGCAGACTCAAATTTGGACGTACCTGGGTTTTCCACAGTCCATTCTGGCCACGGTAGGTGGGTATACCTGGGATGTGGCGGGGGTTGGCGCTCCCCTCCATCAAGTTGCGGGGATTACACACCTGAGCCGGCTGACAGACCTGCTCCTGCGAGGACGACCACGCTCTTCGCATTCGCGAGAGCGTTCCGAAATGACTGTAGGTCCGATTCAGCCGACATACTACGTCTGGAAGAGTAGGTTTCCGATGAGTCTCGGCGCCACACGAGGATACAAGTATTTCAAGCTTGCAACCGTGACTTCGAGCCTGTGGATGCAGTACTTATAATTACTAGTCCACGTTGTTATGACTCCTGTGGGAATGTGCAGCTCGGAAGCGCAATGGGTGGGACAAAGGTCAGCTCGACTCAAATTCGTGAGAGGTTCGCATGGATCAATCAAGAAGACGGGAGTCTTCTTGAACTCGAAGCCCCGCTGGCCCGGCATATGCCGGACCACCAAGCAGGCGACGTTCGAGCAGCAATTCGAATTCGCTCACGTTCATGCCTTAGACCCAGCATGGGTTCATGGATGTTAGTCATCTATCGTATTTTCTTCATCCTTCCCCCCATTTCTCTCATCTAATCATGGTTCAGGAGTTGTGCATCCGGTAAAGATTCTGTTTCAAGAGTGGACTGGCCGGTCAGTCTGTTGCTCTATATGAGTTACTGCACTCATTGAACGAATCTTGTAGGTTTTCCAGGCCCCAAATGAAATACCAGACGATGAAGCACTTGCGCTTATAGAGAATCTGGATTATGAAAAGAACCGTCTGGGAGACTGGTCAGATCCTATCTTCCACCCTAACGCGTGGCGCATCAACTCGGACACTGTCCTGAAAAGAACAATACCGCTCGACTACGTTTCTACATATGAACCATATCTCATGATGCTGGTCTCATCTCAAACGACTATACCGGTCCCCAGGCTACGAAAATACGTCCTCCATGAGAGCGAACTATGGATCTTCATGGAATATATTGAAGGTCGCACTCTCGAAGAAGCCTGGGACACACTCGGTATCACCATGAAGCTTTGGGTTGCGTGGACTCTCAGAGGCTATATACGACAACTTCGACTGATACCAATACCTACGCCACGCGTCCCAGGGCCGACAGATGGCTCGGGCAAACCTCTGCGATGTAAAGGACACTTCTTCCCTGAGATTGGCGCAGGCCCTTTCGCGTCATATGCCGATCTGTCTGCTTGGTACACTCGCAGAGCTGATCGCGCCGTACGCTTGGACTATGAGTGGTCAAAGTATCGAGGCAAGACGCCCTCTCTGTCCCACAGTTCGCTCCATTTCGATGATTCCGAGCCACTCGTCCTTACACATGGCGATATCTCACTCCGGAACATTATACTAGGGAAGGACGGGAGGTTGTGGCTAATCGACTGGGGATGGGCAGGCGTATATCCACAATGGCTTGAATACGGTTCTATGATGATGTACACTGAAAGGAGCGGACTCAAACCGCGGCTGTGGTTCTGGTTGGTACCGTTCATGGCTGGGTGGTATAGGTCACAATACCGTTTCCTTCGCGCGCTGGATCATGCACTCACATTTTATGATTAAACGAGGTTACAAGACAACTCTGTCGCAGATAATTTGCCATGTACTGTCGCATGTTGGTGTTTAGTGATAGTATATTGAGGGCCTTATCCGTTGCGAACCCCCGCATTCTGCGCACGGCTTGCCGGTGAAAAATAGTCCAGGACTCCAGCCACGAGAAACGAGTCAATCTTTGTCGGAGGCGTGGTATGTGTTCTCGCTTCCGTCGTTGACTTAGGTTATAAAAGATACCATGATTGGAATGGTACTTGGGAGCTTATTCCGCAGCTACAGCGGAAGAGGAAGTCCCACCTTCCTGCCATCTCACAGAAGTACGGGGCGTGTGTTACAGGGCGGCCATTTCGGACAATTGAGCGGGGATGTGTGGACGCCACACCGCACATTCATGTCCAAACTGAACACTATCCCTGCATCCGGGTGATATAAGAGAGAGCATTTAGAGGGAACTATCAACCTCTCTGGCAAGTCCTGGACATGAGAAATTCAATTCAGTGGTCGGATACTTGGACGTACGATATTCCCAGGTACCAACAGCCTCGATTATCAAGCTACTCGCCTCAACGCTGGAGAATTTCCGAATCGGATATGTGAGGATCTCGTCTCACGGTGCAGGCGGTGCGTGAATATTCCATGGATGTCAGCAACATAGCGAAGGCATGCATCTATGGTGGGCCTTAATCCAGTAACAAAGCAGTGTTTGTGAAATTTGAGAAACCGCCTGGGCAGTCGTGGCGTCCGACCGGAATGATGGAAGACCGTCGTCCAACACTTCTGAAAGGCACGAGATGATCGCCCATATTCTTCTTCAGGCCGCACTATCAGGAAGGACAAGACCTGGAGCCATATCGAGGCAACAATCTTTTGCAGACCAGCAGACTAGAACAAATAAAGGCACCTGTTGTTCAGAAACTATGAATGTGAGAGGTATCGATGAATGATAGAAGACTTGCCGTCTTACTGCGGTACCACCAAACACGCCACAACTGCTGGCTAGTCGAGAATAAAAGAGGGGGTGAATGGGAATGGAGAACGAAACCCAACATCCCCTCAAACCAGTCCCCCCCCTCCCCCCCAAGACATACAACGCCCCAGCACCATGCAGAGCGCCCTTGGAGGGTTGATGGAAGCTGCTGCTGCGCGGCAGGCAAGGGCCGCGAGCAATCCTGAAAATCGTACGTACTTCAGAGACATATAATAGGCGGGTATTAACGCACGTTGGGTAACCCTGCAGGGGACACAGTTGTCATACAAGTGCCCCAGCACATCCGCGCTAAGGTGGTTAATTCGATGCTATTATTCGGCGCGCCATCGAACAACGTGATACACTGGAGGCTGTTTGGCCAAATTGGCGGCGGACACTCCGTCGAGCTTAACTCCCCAAAGCTCGATTACCATATGAACACGCGTATGTTCATTACGCACCGCACGTACGAATCTTCGGACCGGTCAGATGACAAGTTCGGCGAAAAATTCGCGTTTCAGATGCCCGTCACAGTGGACGAGGTGATCTCGCTCCTGCTCGAGAGGAAGCGGGACCAATACGTCCTGTACGGTACCGGCAGCGGATGTAGGTTTTGGTGTGAGACGGTCATGGCCGATTTTGAGTCGGTCGGGTGGTTCGCACCTGGTACAGTTCAACTCGCGCACCAGTGGCTCGATGGTATTGCTGGCATAGTCGGTCAAGAGAAGATGCCTATGCCCATGGTGAAGGGCACCTTCTTCTGAGACGCATTAGGATCCCCTAATAGCATCTACAGAAGGTGATCCGGTTTGCTACCTCGCTGCAATGATATGTACTTGTGATTTGAAGCGTTTGCCGAGCGGTCGTGTTCTGTAATTTCATACTTCTGTTCCGATTGTGACCATCAGTAGTGTTCGAGTGTATAAAGTGCGGGATTGTCTGAGCCTGTCATACGTCTGTACCGCTCGAACATAGCTTATTAACCGGCCGTGTTGGCATCGATGAGTGTTGCACGCAGGAGACTGCTTTCTGCACGATAATGGTGTTGTCCAAGCACTTTTACCCGCGGCGCTGAGGGCGCGTATGAGCACGGCGCCCAGATACATGATATTCAATTCTCCAGGTATAAGTCGTCAACGCTGCAGAAAAACATACTCGTATGCCTATGGAACTTGCATGGCCACGGGCGATTACTGCGCAGAGTCTTCCGCCGTACTTAGTCCGTGTCGCCGATTCAGATCTGGTATTTACGCGTTGTTTGGCTTTGGTGGCGGCAATGGACCCACAAGTTCAAGTTATTGGAATTCTCCGCGGCAGCGTAGCGTCTTTCTCCTCATCTCTCTGAACTGAGCTCGCCGACGGTAGCGGCTGTAATATCGTTAAAAAATTCCCCCTAATTCTCTGATTGCACGATACACAATGAATACTCTCCGCCTTGACACGGCTTTCACGTTGCGCCCACCGACGCCTGACTTGGATGCACTCCCCTCTAGCCCCTGCGCAATGGCCTACTCGCCAGCCCGCTCCCGTTCCTCATCTCCATCTCCGTCCCCTTCGCCGCTTCCACCGACGCCGTCCTTTTCATTCCCGGCTCCTTCGACTTCGGGCTGCCAACCTCCTCCCCCATCGCCAAATCCTGCACCTAGCACGCCACGCAGACACGTTCGCAAGAGGCGGTCATCCCTTTCGCTCAATGTCTCTTCAATAAACGCGAGCCTGGGCCAGCTGAAGAGTCCCCAGAGGAGCGTGGACATCGCGATGCAGCGACAGAGGCAGCTGCTGGTTAGTATGTCCCCCGGAAGGAGCAGGAGCGCTACGGTAGCCGAGGGTGCTATGGGCAGAATCAAGGAGGAAGGGAGTCCTAGCGGACGAGCTAGAGCGAGTACGCTGTTCGTCCCTGCGAGAGGAGCGATGCCTGTTCTCAGGTGAGCAACATCGCCCCATCTCAGTTCGTTGACGTATCGACTAATGCTGGTTCGCACAGGACTCGACGAAAGCTTCGTCTCCAGCTCGCCCCTGCTCTCCCTCCGCCGAACTCCCCTTTGCCACCCATTCCCTCTCAGCAAGCCCCAGCATCCTTGAATCGTCAACCTTTCGCTCCGTCCTGTTCACCTAATGCTCTACCTGTAGACTCGCCTGTGACACTGGACTCGAACTTTACAGACAAGTTGTTCAGCGCGATGTCCATGTCGCAGAGTCCGATTGAGCAGGAGAGGGCGCAATGGGACATGGAGGCGGAGAATGGAGACTGATTGTCCTGGTCCCAGCCGCAAGTTGAGGTCTTGGAAGTCGCCACAAGGGACTTATCAGCCGTTTCCATTGCCTCCGGCCTTAATGCAAGTCAAAAACGACGGAGGTATGAAAAGTCAAAACCCGCCGGAACGACGATCTACGAAGTCAAAAGTCAAGCTGTCCTGTATCATTTCACTGTGCTCTGCTATCCCTCCGCTCATGTCTCGCTCTCTTCATGCGCCGAATCTGCCCATCTACGACTATCTATTCTGGCATATCCTTTCAGCATTTCCCCGATATTTATCCGAAGGTCCAGTAGCTCTTCCATTACCACTTCCCCCCATCCTGCTCTCTCTCTATCTTGCTATGCTCGCTATCCCTGCACGTCGTTTGTTATGCCAAGGTTCCTCGAAGCAGCCTTACCGCCCATGTTCACCATCATGTACAGAGCTAGCCTCTATAATATTCCGCGGCTGCTGTGCAGTTTGCCTCCATCTGGTTCCTCTTCTCTCTGTGCTCAGGCCGCGATGCGGACACGATAAACATCTCATGGCGAGCTTCCTAACTATTTGAATTGTAGGTCTGTGTGGCGCTGCGAATCGCCCGGTACTGCAGCGCCCCAGCACAGCCCTACCGATACCTCCGAGGCCCGTCCCTCAGACAGCCGCTCAGATTATATTTCCGGCACATCCTCAGCAGATATAGGAAGGGACACGGTCTCGTCGGCGCTGGCTTTCACAACCCGTCGTGGGCGGCATACCGCCCCACGCACATGTGATGTACGTTGGGTAGTGCATCACATCCTGGGGTTCGTATAAAATACCGTTAGCTGAGGGAGCGTTAGTACACCCCCCGCTCCTCAAAGCAGACATGGCCCACCACTTTTGCTGCTGCCTCCCGATCCGCTTCGGCGCGTTCTTGATCTCGTTCGTCCAGTTTGCGCTGAACGCGCTCCTGGCCGTCGCCGTCTGGGTTGTTGTAGCCCATAACAAGTCCCGTGCGTAGACCTTCTCTCATTTTGTCCCTGGGTCTGCATTCGGCATTTATCTTCGCGGACTGGTTGTTTCAGATCATGTGCTGGATACCAACGAGGCGTACCGCGACGCCATCGCCCAAGGCGTCCTCTTCACCTTGACCGGCGTGGTAGCGTTGGCAGCGTACGTTCGATCACTCCTTGCTCCTCGTTGTCCATGCGGAAAGACTGACAGCAACAACCTGCTCAGGTTCATCGGCACGATCCGCAAGAGCGTTTCCTGGATCGCCCCGTACGCCTACGTGATCAGCATTCTCCTCGCGGCCAAGACCATCGTCGCGATCCTGCAAGTGATCCTGTTCCTCCGCGAGCCCGACTCGAAGCTGCTGTCGGAGTGCACCCAGGACAAGAACCAGTCTGAGCAAACGTGCCACGAAGCACTGAAATGGATCAAGGCCCTCTCCATAATTTTGTTCGTCCTGCCCCTCGTCGTGGAGTCTTGTACGTGGAAATCTTCCGCGAGCGCGGTTCGCTCGTTTTGATGTCGCTCGTGCAGACGCCCTGTGGATTATCTACCAGTACGGCGAGAAGCTGGAGGACAAGGAGGAAGAAGCGGCCTGGTCGAAGTCGCAGGCGTACAGTTTGAACAGCGGCCCGTATTCTCAGGTAGGCGGCAGGGGCAGCCAGGACGGCTTGGCGAACGAACCGTACTCCTACCCATACGCCGACCAGGCCCATTCTTTCGGGAACAAGGCGGTGTAAGCTTCGTGGTGGACGCGTACGGCTGTGCTGTGATGCGGATTCATGGGGGTGTCGGACCAACTTCATGATGTATAACGAACCGATATTTTATTTATTTATTCTGGGTTGCATACCAATACAATCGGCGTTCACCTGCGATCTATGAGCATTCGAGATCGGTATTCAAATATCTCGTCGCAAACACTACCAATTTTCAACCGTAAATGTACATAAAATACAAAGCTATGGTATACTCAACCGAGGAGAGTCTATTTCTCGGGTCGTAAGATATCATGTCTTGTATATCCCCCAAAGTTGCCAATTCGTCCGCTCAAATCAAACGTACTCCCAGACCTCCACACGCCCACCGCTTCGTCCCACAATGACCCGGCCACCCTCCTCGTCCAGCGCAAGATTCGTCCACTCATCCGCGCCTCCTCTGCCCCCGGCCGAGGGCACTCCCCCTTCTCCCATCTTTCTACCCACACTAGTATCGCGTATCCCGAAGGTCATAGACGCCGTCTGAGCCGGGGGCACCTGGCGTGTGGCCGCTGCGAACGCGGCCCCTAATGCCGGCTCGGCGGCGGCGGTCGTCGTATTCACACTCTCACCCTCGCTGCCCTGAGCAGGATATGCTTTGCGTTCGTCAAACCCGGACGTCACTACCACCCGCCCCGCGATGCGCTGCCCGAGCTCACTGCTCACGCCCCACGCCTCTGTCTGTGTGTCCAGCCAGAGCGCGGTGCCCCATTCGCCGAGTACCATGTCGCTGGGTGCAAAGAGGCGCACATTGCTCGATATGGAGGAGACGAGCGTGGGCGTCTGGTCTGGGGTCGCAAGGTACGGAAGATCTGTGAGGGGGTTGAATGAGGACGTCGAGAGGGCGTGGGAGGTGGGAAGGTTGGGTTGGTTCATATTGAGGTGGGAAGGTGGGTGATCGGAGAAAACGGGGCTTGCAGACGGGGGTAGAGAAGGTGCGTAGGATGGATTTGGGTACAGGACGAAGTGATGAAGGAGGTTCACGGGCCACGGGAACCAGCTGTCGAACCGCATGAAGAGGTGCATCGGCGTTGGTTCGTACGGGTGTCCGTTTTCATTGGTCTTGGATTTCTGGGACGATGAACACGTTGAAGGCGTGTTCAGTTGCTTACCGTAACGCTTCCTTGCGTCCATCTGGAATGACACGGATACCGAGTCGATCCGCCATTGCCAGCGGTACATTGCTACGGGGTGTAAAACCTGAAAATCCGTGTTTGGGCTGGTAGGGGAGGGAGGAGCGGGAGGAGCTGAGGTAGGACATGGCGGGAGCAGATAAATCTCAAGAGAAACGGTCCGGAAAAGAACTAGGAAACGGGTGTCTTCCAGGAACACGGCACTGACACACACGCCTGGCTGTTAGAAGATACATTAGCTCTCTCGCAAGTGGAGACCGGGACTGTGTACCTGGTGAGTGGTCGGGTCCTGTAACTCGAATATCACTTTTCCGGTGTTCACGTCCCATACTCGCACCGCCTCGGACTCATTGGTACCAACGAGAAGAGACCCGCGGAATATGTGCAGCCGCCTACATCCAGGGAAATGATTGATGTACTTGAACGCATACTCAGGGTTGTCGTTCGTAGGCCCCAAATCCAGGGCATGGATAAACGTTGACGGACTGCTCTTGGGACTCAACAGCTAGTCTCGCTGACGCCAGAGATGCACTCACTGCGCTGCGGCGTCACCTTCGACCTTACATGTAACAGAGAGGACTCCCGGCGCCGTCGGATCGCAATTCACGGCCACGCTGACGATCTCTGTGAACCTGCGAACCGCGACACATTTTGGGCCGCTGTCTGCCTCAAGATCCCAGCACTGGACCGTATATCGTCTTCTGGAGAAGTTTGTGTGTCCGGTGACTGTGAGGAGATAACGGTTGCACCGCCCTGGTAAGAATCTGACCACCGCGCTGCGTAATGTATCCCGTTTTTCCTCCTCCGGTAAAGGAACAATTTCTAGCCGCTTCCTTGTCTCTGGGTGTTGGGATAACCAGTTCTTCCGCAAACGCAGGGCACGGCTTATCATAGCCTCGAGGTCAGAGGCGGAGAGCGAGGATATGTCGCGTGAGTAGAGGCCCGGCATTGGAATGTTCATGGGGAGCACTTCCGCCAGTAGGACGTTCAGCCATACTGCGTGCAGGCGGGTAAGGGACTGAAGATGTTTGGAAGTCTAAGGTGAAAGAGTAATTAGGATTGAGAGGGGATTGGAACTTGACTATGTCCGACCGAATCAATACTAACCTTCCTTAGAGATATAACATCTTTCACGGAGAGGTAGGACAATATGTGCAGAAGAATATCGATGGGCAAGGTTGGAAAGGACAGCTCAGTTTCATGTCCGTCCTCGTAATCAAGTTGCATATTGGATTCTCAAGACAGCGTACGTGGCCTCCTTGACTTTCAAGCGATCGCTATGGTCTGGAATAGTCTCAACGAAAACGCGTGCCTCTAGCTGAATGTTTACCGTAAACCGTGAGGGTGGCCGGTTGATGTATAGGCCTCTAGCACGGGCAAAAGGAGCCTTCTGGATGTCAATTTTATGATAGCAGAAGATGTTTCCCCAGTGTGTGTTAAGCGTTTAATAATGTGAACAACGACGACAACGCTGAAGGGTGTAAGTCATAGCGGTGGCAGTGGCAGTAAGCATGAAAGGCGATTTCGAAGCCACAGCGCGGTCTCCGGCTTGCCGCTTCATAGACTGCTACCATCATGCACACCAGCAAGCTGAAACGGAAGCTGAACGATCTGGGCGTGAATGCGTCGAGCTCGAAGGCGACGGAGAACTTCTGCCTGGTACGTTGATTTGGGATTCGCAACTAATACAGGCACCCTGATGACAGCCTTAGATCGGGACACCGCTCCCACCGCTCGAGAAACGAGATGCTGGAGAGTTCGTGCCGCTATGGAAGCAGGAGGTGTGTTAATTCTTTTCGTATAAACCATCTGCGATACGATTCTTTGGCAGGTGAGGGACGAGAAAGGGCGGAGGCGGCTCCATGGCGCCTTCACGGGAGGCTTTTCCGCTGGTTACTTCAACTCTGTCGGTTCGAAAGAAGGTGCGTTGAGATGCTTTTACTGTACTCGACTACCCGCTAACTGCATGACAAGGATGGGCGCCCTCCACCTTCGTCTCTTCCCGTTCCGAGCGTGCGAAGCAAAAGCAGGCCCGCCCAGAAGACTACATGGACGAAGAGGACCTCGCCGAGCTGCGCGAGAGCCGCAAGCTCGTTGACGAGAACGACGAAATGGATTTGGTCGGAGGGACTCAAGCGGAGCTACGCCGGCGCGCGGGCGCTGGCGAGGTGGAGAAAGAGTACGCATAGCCCTAATATCCTATCGATGTTCCTTTGTCACTGGGTGACTCCACCTGCTGCAGCTCAATAGCTTCCAAGCTGGAGGAGGCGTTGCTGCCCCCGCCGAAGGACTCCGTCGGCGCCAAGATACTCAGGAAGATGGGCTGGCGCCCGGGGCAAGGCGTCGGCCCCCGGGTAACCTGGCGTCAGAGGAAGATGCAGGAAATTCAGTTAGCAGGTGCGGACGCTTCGGAGTTGAAAGAAGACGAGGAGGATGAGGAGGCGAAGAAGCACATGTATCCGGCCAGAGATACGCCCCTGCTCCTCCCGCCCAGGAAGGAGGATACGCATGGACTAGGCTATACAGCTGGACTTAAACTCGGCGAGATTGTCAGCGGTCAGGATGAGGGGCGACAGGGACCAAGGCTATCAGGTATTTCTTCGCGGTAGTATCAGCGGACGGGTGACTCAAATCACTGCACTAGCCGGCTTCGGTTTGGGCGCACTTAACGAGGCTGAAGACGATGATATCGACGTCTACGATACGGATATGAGGAGCGGCCGGTCTCACATGGCATTTGATATCGTCGATGAAGATGAGGGCAGACCTTCAGCCTCGAGGAGCTCGCGACAAGCCACAGCTGGTAAAGCGCGCTCGGTACGCTGTTTCCTGACACGACTGAAGGACACTCAATCATGTTCTAGCAGACTACCCAGACAAGCCAAACATTCCGTGACGGCTCACTAGTCATTCCCGGGTTCGTGGTCGTCGACGAGCCATTAGTGGAAGACCGATGGTGATTGTTGGGCATCATCTTGTGGTTATTCTTCATTGACGATTTGTTCTCAGGTATCCTATACCAGACGTGCCGAAGGGGTGGAAACCTGATCCCCGACGTGTGTGGCAGAAAGATAAAGAGAACATGGAGAAGGCTCAGCAGGAGGCTCAAGCGTTGCCGAAGCCAACGACTCACCAACAGTGGAAGACGGGCGTCACCCCTGAACAGGTTCGTGCATCAGGTACAGTCTACTCATGACGAATGCGGCTCACATTACTGTTATAGCGAGGAGCTGTCCTCGGAGAGACGCCTATACGAGCTGCACCTCGTTCAGTCTTCGAATACCTGTCTCAGAAAGACCGAGAAAGGCTCAAGAACATATCCACGAACCTCTCGAAACCGGATAGAGTTCCGAAGGCTGAACCTATCGTAGAGCCTCCACCGCCGTCTTCGAGCGTACCTCGCGTAGATCCCCGTGTAGCTAAAGCAGCTCTACAAGGTTTCCAGCCTTTCACTTCCGATCCTGTCAAACAATCTCGATACGCCACATTCTTGAAGGCCCAAGCCGACCCAGACGCTCCCCTTCCCCAGCTCACGCCTCTCCCAGGACAGAGAGCAGAAGATTTCCAAAAGGAACTACAGGACTACGCGAAGGCTGCGGTAGTCTTCAAGCCGTTATCCGCCGCCATGGCGGGGCGGTTCACGTCAGCCTCAGTCGTAGAGACAGGGCCGCAGATCAGCGAGGGGCTATACACTCCCGCGTTTGAGCCCGAGAAGACAGAAGAAGAAAAGGCAGAAGAGAAGAAAGCGGAAGAGGAGAAAGAAGAGAGTCCTAAAGCCCATGCGGCGCGTCTAGGTATGTACGGGTCTATGACGCGCGAAGTCACCCCATGGCATCCAGCCAGGCTGCTCTGCAAGCGCTTCGGCGTCAAGGAGCCCAATCCTGAGCCCCTCGAGCCCGAAGCTGGGCCGTCCTCGCCTGCGGCAGGGACGGGTGCCAACAAATGGACGCCCGAGGCTGCCTTAGCGGATGCTTCCGGATTTACGGCTGGTAGTACCTCGGCAACGGATCAAGACGGCGCATTTGTACCACCAGCTGCTGCTGCTGGATACATGTCCTTCAACGATGCCCAAAGTCAAAGCACGGGTGGAATCAAGAGTCTCGATAATGTTGGGCTGGGAGAGGACGAGACCCAAGGAGCGGATGTATTGACATATGAGCGGCCTCCAATGGATGTGTTCAAGGCAATCTTTGCCAGTGATGACGAAGAGAGTGACGGAGAGGAGGGGAAGGACGACACGAATGAGAAGATGGACGTCGACAGACAAGGCCCATTGACCACAGACGGTACTGTGGCTCTAGTGAAGACGGAGAAAGCAGTAGTACCCTCTCATCTGGCTGGAGCGCCTAACACGACGGCGTATGCTCCCTCTGCAACTGGCGTCAAAGAGGAAATTGACCTGGCTACGTTTAAGCCTACCTTCGTTCCCCGGTCTGAACGTGATACGAAGAAGACGAAGACGAAAGAGAAGGACAAGAAGGAGAAAAAGAAGAAAACCAAGACACTTGTTTCCTTTGAAGTGGAGGAAGACGGAGGATACGACGTGGCGTTACCTCCCAAGGAAGATAGTAAGAAGCGGGATAAGGACAAGGATAGGGCTAGGAAGAAAAAGCGGAAAGAACATGACGAGGATGAAGGGAAGGAGGACGATGACAGCATGTGGGTGGAAGCTCCTCCTCCTGAGGTGGTCAAGACACTGGGGGCCATTGCTTCGGCTTCGTCTGCTCCGGAACCGAATGACATGACAGGCGGTGAAACGAGTCCTCCACGAGGACGGAAGAGGGCAATTGATTTTATGTAGCACCTCCCTCGTGTACATTACTCTTGCCATTAATCGCGGACCGTACCACGGCAGTGTATCATACTTTTTAGTCCTCTTCTACCTCACTTGCAGAGCCTTCCTCTTCCTCTTCCTCCATCTCCTCCTGCGGCGCCCATTCTTCCTCCTCATCACTGACTTGCTCCTCCGCTTCGCTACCTTCCTCCTCACACCGACTTCTCTTCCCGATATCTGGCACACTTTTGATGTCGCCTTCTCCCAGGGCCATACAAGTCAGCCGAGTACCCTTAGTGTCGTATTCTGCAACAGGCTGGATAACTGTGACATTATCCCTGTTCAACGATGCTTGGGATAAGGACGATTGGAGGTCGTAAACGAGAACCTTCCCATCTGAGGACACCGTGCCGGCTATCGTCGTCGTCCGTCTTCCAGACGACGGTGGAAGGGATATACGAATGGTATCCACTGCCTTTACCCTGGAAAGGACATGACGGTTTGAATGAAGATAGAAAATATAACGAGCATACCGATTGGCGTGTCCAACCATTTCGGCGACGATCGCGGGTATCTGCTTGTCCGAAGCCGATGCGATGTCGTACAGCGAGACTTTCTTGTCTTCAGCCCCGACTAACAGGAATTCCCTTTCTTCATCGCCTTGCACGGGGATCTTGCAGAATTTAACATCCTGCACTCGCGAGGGATGCGTGATACTACAAAGCAGCGACATATCCTACGCGGGCAGTGTCAGATCCGAGGACCCAGCAGACAGATGAGGGATACGGACATACAGTTGCGTAGACGTCTATAGTGTTCTGTACCTGCACAATAAACATGGTGCCATCCGAAGACCATCTCACGATTTCACCCTCTTCAAACCGTTGTCATTCCATTAGGTCTTGAATACGTATACAGTACGACGATTTTGCTTACCTTTGCCGAGTTTCACACTGGCGCTGCCTTTGCCGCGCATGAGATCCCACATTCGCAGCGTTCTATCCTTACCAACACTCAGCGCAACCTTCCCCGACGGGTGCGCGGCAAACGAGTTCACTCGGCCTTTATGCCCTTTCAGTGTCCGTAACACGGCCCAATCTCTTGTGTGGAACAGAGATAACATCCCGTCTTCGGATGCAGACATGAGATGCGAGCGGGATGGGAACGTGAGCTGAGTTATCGAGCCTAGCTTCCGCTAGTCAGGTTACAGTCGATGCGTATAAGTTTGCGAGATACTCACCTTCATGGTGCATCAAACCCCCAATCTCTTTCCGCCTCCTCAGGTCCCATACTTTTATGATTTCGTCCGCACTACCCGTAGCCAGCCACTTTCCCCCTTCTGGCGAGATGGAAACCGCCTTGACACATGAGACGTGCGCAGGGAATGCGAATATCGGTTTGAGCTCATATTTCAGAGCACCCTCGGACTCATCGAAGTGACTTGATCCCTCCAAGCCGTAGAGCAGTTTTTCGTACGATCCCGCAACCAGGACGAATACAGACGAGAGAGGACGGTCTTTCAAAAAGCCCTTCGACGTGTTGATTGCCTTCTCCTTCCCTTTAACTGAGGTTTTGGTTGGCGGTAGCTCTGACTTTGCCGGACTTTGGGTACCAGCGCGTTTCTTGTTCTTTTTTGTATCCGTCCGGAGAGCGTGTGCTGCGGTCTTTTGTTTCTTCGTAGGCCTTACGTCGGTATGTCGCGATGTCCTCTTCATGTTCGAAGACATTCTCAGGAGAAAAGGAGCGAGCTTAGGATTGCCTTCGGGAGGTATAGACGAAAACAAGTTCCTGTGGCTGAAGCCACCCGTTACATCGGTCCATCGTTCTTCCGCGCCTGAGTGACTGGCCACTGCTGAACCTTACCCTGCGTGACCTATGTAACACTCCTCTTCTTGCTAACCTATGTGACCGCGGAAATTCCCGCTACCTTGGGGAGCGGGTCTTGCGACCAAGTGTGTTCGCACTTTCTCCGCCATTTTTGCAAGATCGGTCAAAGATCTGACCGGCAGTAAAGCTCTTATGTCAGTTTTCTCAGGCTAAGCCCTCCTTCGTATATCGCTGGTAGTCAACGTCGTAGCTTTCACTAGTATTGATCGTCTACGGCGTCTTGCGATGAGCGCTCCTGCAGTGTTCTCTCTGTCTCTGGTCGGCTCGTACTTTGGTGTCCCGGCTGCCATCTTGGTGGACTCAAGCATCGATAGTTCATGTGTCCGCGCCGGCTTTATACAGGAACACAACCTCCCGTGTACGTGGTCGACTTCTGGCAGCTCTATGGCTCCTCTCGTTGTGATGCACGGTACTGTTGTTGTACCCGCGTGCAACGGCTGGTTCCACTCGACGTTCCCTGTACTGGTCCACACCCATGTTCGCGCCGACATTGTCCTGGGCCGCGACTGGCTGGATGCGTGTCGTCCCTCCATCGGAGCTGGTTATTTACTCCCGTCCGAAGATAACTCGCATCGACTGCCGGCGGGACATATATGGGGTACGTTGCGTGATCTACCCGTTGCTGCGATGAATGCTTAATTGACCTGATTATAGTTCCGGCACCGCAAAGCATTCCATCAGCGGTGTCAAATGAACGTGCGGATAACGGTACCCATGCAGGTGTGATATTTATCCCCTATGCCTTCTGTTAGGTGTTATTGATTTTTTACTCTAGCTTGTGCCTCGCCTGGAACGCATGCTGTGGCACCCGATCAGAGCAGTTTTAACGGCAACTTTGGCAGTGACAGTGCGTCAACATCTTCCTCATGCTTGCCTGATATCAGTATTGCTACAAACACAATATTGAACTCCTCCCTGATCCTTTGGTCCCGAGATAAGCTGGGAGCCTATCTTAGCAGCT